CAGTTAATTGGCATAAAGCCTTTTGGCACCAATGTTTTCAGCAGCTTACATAAAATATGTTTTGTTATATTCTATTATTTGTATTACTATTACCTCTCTTAGAAATTTTAATGTTCCTTTTAATTCCTAGCCGGAACAAAATCTCTGAATTGACAATCGTTGATTTTGTTTATAACATCAGAGCTAAAATTTTAAAAATTTCACGTCCGCAAATCCAATCACCCTGCTTCAATTTTCTATTAAGAGGGTACTTGTATCTCATGAAATTTTTAGAGATTCTTAATATATTTATTTTCGTATTAACAGCATTCACAATCAAGATGGTCGTGGTGGAAGTCAGCGGTTGGATCATTTATTACTTTGATTATTGATCAGTTTTTACAGGCAATTAATAAATCTCTAGAATCATTATTTATACTTCTACTTCATTGTATCTTGTTCTCTTTAGCCCTAATGAATTGTAATTTGGGTAGAAACAACGTTATTCAATACATATTTTCTTCATTTTTTTGCTAATTAAGCCTGAAAATCTTCTATTTTGTTGTTAATATAATAAAATTAATTCTTATTTTTTCTTTCATTTTGTAAAGAAAGTAGAAATGAAAAGGAGATAGCAAGTACTGTAATACATCCCCGTTGGTTCCTAAAATATTTTTGTTTCATTACTTTTATATCGAGTGTAAATTCCTGTTTCTTTCAACTTTAACTTGCCATTCTACTTTCAATATAAATAACTTAAAAACCCTTAAGAATACTACTTCAATTACAAATACTAACTTCACAACTAATATGAAGTACGGCGATTTATTCCACATATATAGTGTGAAATTGATTATATAAACTGGTACTTCCGGTAATTTTGAAGAGCAAATAGCTGTAAAATCTCAAATATATACCTACCTGAAATATATAATTTTAGTATTGTACATTTTTTCGTTTATATAGACATATATTATTATATCAATTTCTCTCTACCTCTATATATACACATATATTTTTATTAATCTATGACAAACTCTTGGTGGTAGAATGTGTCGAGACATTGCTCCAGCAAACAAGTCAGAAACGACGCAGGTCCTACCTAATCCCCAAGAGGGAGGGACTTATTTTTCATGGAATAAATCTCGACCTTCTCACTTTTACTAAACCACTCTTCTTTTCTTAGGTCTTCGTGTGTACGATGTCTGTAAGCGACCAGAATTCATGGTTCTAGATCTTTTTGTATTTCTTCTTGAACCATAGAAAGTTGGTAGAAAAGGACCAATTAGTCCTAAAGGGATGCCTTAAGGTATCTTTAAACCGATAACTTACCGCTGGAGCATAGAAACCATGGTTCGTAGCGACGTGAAATTGTGACTACCTAGCGAGCAGGTTATGCCTGCAAGATGACCGCATGAAGCGACCTTAGATCTTAATGCTCCACAAGGACAACCGAACCAAATATATACTAATAAACTGATACCTATACATACTAAACTGATAAAATTTGATAAATAAAAGAGTTTGCAAATAAAGTATTCCATAAAACATTTGGGCGGGACTCATCCGGGAATTTAAACTAAACAACACCGAATTAAATGAACTGTATCTGGTAAACGTGATAGCATTGCAGCGAATTAAAAAAACATGTGAAATTGGGGGGCTTAGTAACGAATGAATTCCTAAAATTTTAATAAGTATTATAGTAAAAGTCGGAGGGGCAGACCTAAACAAAACTTCGTTGATTGCGCAAATGTAATCTCCCATATATGGTATTGCCGGCATCGAACCTTTGGGTTCCCTAATTCTTTTTATTTTAATTCACTTTTATTGTCACCTCGCCTCTCTAGTCTGTGTCCTGTAATGAACATGTTTTCGAAACAAAATTTTATACATATACGTATCACTTATAAATTCCAAATTAAGTTCTTTAACTTTTTTTATTGTTTTTAATTATTATTTTTTTTACTTTTGCTTATATATAGTATGTAATAAATAATATAGTAGAGTATATAAATAATCATATAATCCAATAGCATAATCAAAAATGTAAACTAAATAAACCTACATACATAAATGTGTAGTTAAGCATGCAGTTTCTATATTTTACAGATTAATTTATCTTTCACAGGATTTCTATACAAGAGAAAAATGATATGAACATAATAAATTGATCAATAAATTAATATTTCATTGGCTAATGAATACAAAAGTTGATGTGTATTCATCATTAAAAAAATCTCGAGTTCAATAAATGTATCACAATAAAAAAAATCAGATTAAATAAATGAACAGAAGTTGGAATTAAAATAATTCATTGGTAAAGTAACTATCGAAATTTTACACTATATAACTTGTGATACTATTAATAAATAAAACAAAATATTAAAATTAGAAAAAGGAAATAAATTAAAATGTTATACATAGCATTATAAAAAATGTAATGACGCAACCTGATATTATATAAATATGATTTACCATTGACTTAAGCAGTCTGTCTAGTATAATTACTTAATCGTGTAGCTGAGCAGTAAATTCTAGATTCTTATATCCATTAAATAAATTTGGTTTAGTAATCATCACAACTAATAAGCTCGAAAGTTCAACATAACTGTTTTTCAAAATATCTCAGAGAAAATTGAAATCTCAATTTGCAATTAGAATAGTAAAAATAACTATCACACTACTGGCTTAGATGGGGGGACATCTTATTTAAAACTATTTACGAATTAGGACAGAACATAACTATTAGTTTTTCCAGATAGATAACTAACTGAAATTAACATTAGCCAACAATTGGGTAAGAGAAAGTCCTTAGTTATATGTTTCAGATAGATTCAAAAATAATAAACTATAGAAGTTTTGCAACTTAATATAGAAATAATTTCTACAATTATAAATATAATAATTCTTAATGAGATCTAATAATTATATAAAGACTAAATACCACCTGAATATACATGTACAATATATGAAATACAATACCAATTGTGATTACACAGGTAGTTACGAACTATAATAAATTTAAAAGCACATTGAATATAAAATCAATCATCCAAAGCAACTTAAAGCACTAGTTTTTTACACTATTTCTATGCCATCCAATACACACAGTAGGTAACAGCTACTATTATGGACATGCACTTAACAATGATTTTTTAAAAATAAAAATGTATCCAGCAAAATCACTCAATATAGTGACAGAATTTTAATTTTAATCATTAATTGAAAATGTATCAATAACATTTTCTAGAAATCATAGTAACCATAATACCAAAGGAAATAATAATGTAAATGATAAATGACTATTTAATAAATATATCTCTTTTATTTTTTCAATGTTTAGTTAAAAAATCTTAAACTAGTGGAGGAAGGAAAAATAAAATAAAATTAACTCAAACAGAAAGTAATTTATTGCAACATAAAAAACAAAAATAATAATAATAAAATAATATATTTAACATTGTGTGAAAGGCGCAATAGGGTAAATTGGCAAATAATTTTATATAATAAATACTGAAAATTATATAATTTCACTAAGTAATTATTAAATACACTTTGTATATTATACCTCATTTAAACATGCAATGAAAAAATGGGTAATTAATATATAAGCCAATAATTAAAACCAAAAAACAGCACACTAGACCTCAAATGGGATTATAACCTGATTGCCTAACAATATCAAATTATTACTGTAATTAATAGGTGGAATCAGCCAAAATAAAATAATGTTTGAAATATTACTGGCAAATTTGGGTAAGGAGGTACTAAAACCACCATTTATGTAATGGATATTACATAAAGATGGGGCAAAAGGGTGGGGAAGGGTTGAAGCATGGGATCAGTGAACTGATGACTAAAACTCGACTATCGTTTCAGAACACTAAATAAAAGCTAGTAAAATTAATATATTTCTTTTTTCAAATCTATGTTTTTTAATTTAGCAATAGGCACTTTGACTAGAATTTTCAATTAAAGTTCCACACGGCCAAATAGAATACTTACAATTTGGAAGATACTAATGAAGTTCTCAAATATATTAAGCGTAATATTAAAAATAAATAAATATCACAACCGAATTCAAATAAATGGGCAAAGCAAAATCAATTGTTGGTGAGACATCCTGACATACACTCGCCCACCGGTAGCCATCTTTCGGCGACTGCCGAAAAAACAGGCTAGGCACAAGGCTGGCAGCACAATTCCAAAGAGACTAGAACTGTATTATGATGCTCGATGCTTCTTGCGTTTCCCGCTATATTCCGTTAATATATTTAATAAATATTGTAATACAATAAACATGTTTCATTCTTTAGAAAATTTGAATTACTTCGATATAAAATTTAAAACCGACTGAAAATCAGATGCTTACGTTATAAATGAGATGTTATTTTCCCTTCATCAACATACTAACTACTTAATCTTCAAAATGCAATTACAAAGCTAATAATTTTATAAATATATTTCTGAGTATAAATTAAAACTACCTCAAGTAATAATAGACCAACCTCCAAAAGAGATTTCTTTCTTCACGTCCTGTAGGAGCAGTCTCTATTTCACTGATTATTAAGCAAAAATTAAAAATAATCTTTCTTTTATCCATTTACTTATAACTTATTTCTAAAATATATTTCTCTGAATAAAGATAATTTCAAATAATCACTACGAATTTATGCGCTTTCTGGCGGTTTTATCATTAATTACTTAACTTGCTTACTAAATCTTTTAGTTCAAATAAAATTTCAATATTTCTTTCCGTAAAGTCTGAAATGAGTTATAATTCTGAATTTTGACTTTCTCTAATTGTTTAATTATAATGAATTTAAAAAAGGTTTTTATTTAAAAGTAATAATGAATACTTTAAAAAATTCTCTCTCGTTAGGAAAAAATAGAAATAGATAGGAACGTAAAATTAACAGATTCATACTAATTATTTACCAGTGATTTAGCTAAAATAGTGTTATTTTTTCCTCTCAAATAGTTTACTTAAAATTGTTTTCATAAAGAACTTGGGAGCGCATTAATCTATCGATCAAGAGTCTTAATAAATAAAGCGCATGCGCGTTGTGTATGTAGTATACTAGAGTGTTTATTCCGGCTGTGCCCTAGGAATTATGTTTATAAACAATCCAAGTTCTTAGTTCTGTCCAGTGATACTGTTTTAAAACTTTGTTTTCGTAATGATTTCATTACAAGTGCACCTACTTCACACTAGTATAACGACTCATCATGTGTTCAAATCGGAAATTTTACTTGTCAATGTCATATTTGCCGTCATCAAACATGGCTGCTAAATGGATCTGTTATTGGTTATAAACAAGTTTTTAATCATTTTAATAAATGAGAGATATGTTTTCTATGTCTCTCACCTCTGATTCAAGTAATTATGACTTCGAAAAAGAGGAAAATGCTTCTAAATGGAAGGGAGTCTTTGTTAACTCCTTGCGCAAGGTGATTAATCATTATGCACAGCTGTTTGTTCCAAACATTACTTTTAGCAGATCTACTAATTAAAAACTTTGAGATTTTTTAATGAATGTTGTTTGAATACCGCCTTAAATTTATGTTTTTAATTGTTAATGTTAGTCAAGTTTTATTTTACATTAGTTTAATTAATATAAACCTACAATTTTCTGTTTAATTCAGTAATTAACATCTGATTTTTATACATGACAGTGGATCATTTTCTTCTAATTATTTAAAAATGTGACTACCTCAGTGCTTGATTGAATATTGGTTAGATCTATTTACCTTCTTGTTTTCATTGTTTCTGTTCATTTAAGTGTTGCTATTAGCTATTCAGGTGTCAATGTTCATTCTAATTCCGTTTAACAAGAAGTTTGGCTGGAAATTTCATTTTTTTTATTTTTTATTGTATATATACTAGAATAGTAATCTAGAGGACTTGTACAGTCTTTATATAGTAGAAATATAATTGATGTATTTATTAGACTTGTTATTGAATCATTGAAGCTTAATCAAGTAATTATCGCTTTATTTAATTTTCTTTTTTCCTATGAATAGGTGTTTGATTGCCTTTTCAACAAGTACTATGTACTAAATTCATTTATTTGGTCTCATTTCACGAGTGTTACGTTTGGTTGACAGGTGGTTCTTGATCATATCGATTTAACTGTACATAAAATCCCCAAATTATCCAAGTGTGCCCCAAAGTATAAGAAGGCAACTCTATTTTAAATCTTCCCTAGTAATTAATGACAGAAGTTATTTAACGATGATTTGAAAAAGATTGATTTCCATTTAAAATAGCTGCAGTGACTACCCATCTTAGTAAGGCCCAAACCTCAACTGGAAAGGGCCTAGTTCAGGATATGTATATCTCTTGAACAAGCATAGTTTGCCTTTCTGTGAACATAGTTATCATTAATCTGCTATGGTGAGAATTATATTTACAGTGTGAAATAGAACCTCCATATGTGATTCTTGTTAACTAGTACCATTGATTCTTGTGTATTTTTGAGAAACATTATCATTTTGTCAATTCATTAGTTAATTCTAGCCTTCTACTTATCCCCGTTTGCTTTCTTAAAGGTTCAAAATTAATTTCATACTTGTTAATCCATACAAACTATATGCATGCTATATTGGTCAGTAACAGAATGGTATTACATTGTCAAAATAAATATTTCCTAGTATTTATAATATTATAAGTTATCTTACTTCGAAAACAAGCAATTAGTATCAGCCATTCTTTAAAATTGGTATCATAATTAAGAAAACAATGTTACATTATATAACATTCATTTTGGCTTTGTCAGATATTAATTTCGGTAACACTGTAGAAATGTCACTCCACTTTTCCAGGAGTGCAAAGCAAGATCCATGATCCTGCTGTAAATGGGATTCCGAGGATCAACAATTTGTTGTATAACTTATGGCACAAAATCACGATTTATGACATTGCCAAACTCCGTACCGATGCTTTCAGTTAAAATTGGGATCTTAACTAGCTTTAATTACATAATTGTTTTCAGCTCCCACACATTCAAGAGAGATAAGCCAATCCCCAATGGATGCTTTTCAGTTAAAGTTGGAGTCTTACCAAACGGTTCTGTCTATTTCAGACATTTTCGTCTATTCTCCCGTTCCCATTAATGATAATACCTGGTACTACCCATGAAAGAGTAGTGGCATTTGTTCAGTATTAAATTAACTTTGTTTTAACTTATTTACTTTGCAAAACCTTTTTGAAAACAATGTTAGAAGTGATAAAATGATATTTACTTAAGGGTTATTTAACGCAAGCATGAGTATCATTGAACAACAAGTTTTTCAAACACAAATGGAAATGAATGAAAATTTTGTTAATGAGTCGGTGTATTGATTGCCTTGTATTTGAATTCAGAAGTACAGTATACATACCCAAGTCCCAAAGTAATGGGAAGTTTCATGTAATATTTTAAGTTTTATTCAAAATGATGGCTCAACTATTATTTTTGATAAAGTACTAAGGAGGCTATGAAAAAAAAAAAATCTTTGTAAAATATTATATGTTTAATTGACAAATATTTTTAACACAGAATAAAGTAACTATTTTGGTTTTCATAAATTGAGAGTGGACTTCTCATTTTAATTGTACAGTTTTTTTTTTCTATATTTTAACTTAAAATCTGAAACTACAATGGGCCAAATAAGTATTCGCACATCCCGTGTTTTTGCCCAAAATGGTTCATTATATTTTTTTTAATTTGAAACAACAGCAAATATCAATTACAAACTTCATTTTGTGTAGTCCCAAAATTAATAATTTGCACACAAAAAAGTATTCCTGCACTAGAGCAAATGTTAATGATATGATAATTTATGTTATTAAAACATTTTTGTTAACGTTCATTTATAATCTGTTATTCCAGAAGATTCAAGGATAACTCTGTACGAGAAATTGCTTGTTTAGTTCAGTAATAAAAATATTTCTTCGGCAATGAATAATATGTCCAATAGTTCTCATCTTAAACATGACATAAAATATTTTCAACAAGGTTTAAGTTTGCGGTATATTGGAAAAAAGACAGTGAAATACATTGTAAAAAACTTTAAATCCGAATCAGTGAACAATAAATACCGTCCAATGGGAAAACTCTTGTTGACAGTGAAAATATCGTGAAATTGTGTTTAAAGTGACAATGTCATGGATTGGAGCTGCATGGGTGCCAAAGGAGTTGGTGAACTAGCCTTTATTGGAGGAATTATGAATGCAGACAAATATGTGGATGTATTGCGATACAATTTAAATAAAAGTATGTGATAGTTAGGAATGAGGAATACAAATATGTTTCAGCAGGACATTGATCCCAACCACATGGCCATAAAACTAAACAATGGTTGCTGTATAATGTTCGAAAAATTCTCAAAACACTCCCACAATCACAGAATCTCAATCCAATTGAAAATTTATGGGCGCTACTCGAATAGCATATCCGAAAATATCCTTGTTCTTCTCGGAATGACTTAATAAAGGATCTTAAAAAATCTTGGGAAGAAATTGGACAACAGACCAAGAGGCTCGTGGAAGCGATGCCAAGGAGACTTAATAGTGGGATGATAAACGTGAAAGGGTACCCTACAAAATTTTAAAATTAATTGAGAATGATATTTATATTTTGTTTGGGTTAATATATTTTTTTTGAACTTCATATTTAAAATGTTACTTGTTTGTACAGTTAAGGCAAAATGAAGTTTCTAATTGTTTTATATAGTTACTTTATGTTGAAAACATAAATAAAAAGATTTTTGGCCAATAACATATTTTGTACAAATACTTTTTTTGGTTACTGTATCGGATTGCTATTTTTGAATGTTTATGCTATTGGTTACTTTTCGATTTGTAATTGTTAGTGAAGGTTAAATTTTAACAAAAAAAAACTGTAAAGGTCACTAAAGTTTTCTGATGTGTATTTGCAAAGGTAATTAGCATGTAATAAAAGTGGTGGGTATGAAGCTAGTCATGAGACTGGAAAAACGATTGTGTCAGAGATTGCCAGCACCTAGCTTACACTAGTGTTCCCAGGTTCAAAATTTCTTCCATCCAAGAAAGATTTTAACATTTTGTCTTTAATCTTTTCTTTGAGTAAGAATATTTTATTCTAAATTTATTTTATTAGTTTTTATAAGAAAATAAAAGAAGGTGAAAGAGGTTGAGCAGAATCATGTTGGGCTGCAGTTTGTATCATCCTTCAGTTGACTTTGACTCCTCCAATCCTCCACTATCGCTTCCAGACGTTCTATTTCATGTTATTAGCTAAATATGAATTATTTTTTATTATTTAAAAAATGCTATCTTAATCTTTTTTATGTTCTTTACCACTTAAACTCTGTTGCTGCTTTAATTTATGCAATTTTTTTTTTTTATATCCATGTACCCAATTGATCATTTAAATCATCTGAATTTATATGATTCCTAAAGCTTCCTATTAGAAAAGGAGATAATTTTAATTTTGTTCAAAGCTTCAGTATTTCAGCTGTATTTTTATTTATTCCTAATTGTCTTAATTTGTATTTGTTATGGGATTAGTAATGTCTTACAAAATCACAAGAAAATATTTTTTTTTATTTACTAACAATTTTTATCATGATCAAATTTACATTCTGTTGTCATAGCGTGAATAATTAGGATGGTCAGTAGGCTTAGGGTCAAAGTAATGAATTGTTAATATTCATTTTTTTCAGATGTTATAATTGTTGTAAAAATGATATGTAATTACTTACTCATTTTCTCATGGAAATCTCGCCTTATGCTGGCTAAAGTTTTGAAAAATTTCATTTTAGAAGACTGCGGGCTGTTGACCTGTGATATAAAGTATTTTCAAATTATTTATTATTTTCAATTTAACCATTAAATCTGGTACTACTTTAATTTCATGAGTGGGCCAAAATGTTAGGATCACGTTATAAACTAAATTCTGATAAATGGGCGTGAATTGGCATGTTCAAAGTATACTGAGATGCAAAATCCAAGTTTTTAACCTTGGCTAATTTTATTAATGTTATGCTAAATTCACTTTTATGTCTTCAATAATCTGCCTCATATGAGTTTGTGAAGTAAACATTTATTTAAGTTATTATTTTGAAAGAGTAGGATGCGTGGATATAGGAATGGCCATAAATAATTGATAAAAAAAAGTGAGCTAGAACGACTCAAGTCAATTATTGCGTTCAATCTTTTTCGTGGGCACCTATGCCATTGCCGATTTTCCACCGATAAGTACATTTTTTAAAGAACTGTTTCAAATATATATTGAAAATTAGTCAGTTAGTTAGAAAGATAATTGTATTCCCTAGATGTTTTATTTCAGGACGTTTTTCGTTATTGTTGGCAGTTTAATTACAAATGTCGCTTTGGTTTGAACGACTTGAAAAAAATGGATTTTACTAGTATTTTTTATTGCCAAAGCCAATTATTTTTTAAAGTTCTTTGATGCTTTATTATTTATTGACTATCCAGGTTTAATAAAAGACCAGTTATGACAAAATTAACTTTTAATGCATTTTATTAATTAAATATCTCAATATTTAATACTGAATTCCATTTGTAACAATCGTCTCAGTCGTATTTTCCTTTGTGTTCAAGAAAATCATTTATTTGTTTCTTATCAGAGTGTACAACTATTTACCTCCTGATAGGGACTTTTAAATAGTTAAACAAAAACTGAATAACGTAGGAAATAAATAGGCAGGATGTAAGTATATCCCCTCATATAAAACTGCTTCCTTCAGTGAATATTTTTTTATTTGTGCTACCAATTTTGGAACTTTTTAACCCATTCATATTTATCAAAGCTCCTTCACATTTTTATTAAAACAACACTTATTCCTTCAATACTAGATAATTGCAAAGAGCACTTTGGTAATTATTAAGCCAGATGAATGAATATATATAGATAGATAGATATATATAGATACACTGCAAAATACTATTAGTGCAATTTAATTAAAATGTGCGGTTTTGAGCTTTCCCAGTTAATCCAGGTCTCAGGTATATTCATAAAACAAACTAAGAACGTTATTTAGAACATTACATTTTCGTCTTAATCATGCCATAAAAATTGAACAGAAAATCTACTTCATAAAATAAGAAATACACGGTTTATTCCATCTTATAAATAATTTAATGTTTTGCAGTGCGAATGTAAATATTCAAAATATTGTAACTAGTCTTAAGGGACTTTTCCTCCACAATAAATCAATTTTTAATTTATTAATTCACTATTGTATTACCTATTCAAAAATAATACCTCCTTGATTTTTGTCTTCGTGGTTTACACTTTTTACTACTTAAGAAAATATTTTTTCTTGCTTCAAAAGGTATTAATTTTTTTATAAAACTTCAACACTAAATTTTTGTGACATTCAAGAGGGAAAAACACAATTTAAAAAAAAATGAATGTAAAAAGCAGAATTCCACATAATATAAAACTTTGGCTAGTTCACTTAGATTAAATGAACAATTCACTTTTTATTTTCAGTGGTGTTTAATTGTAATAAGTAGGTAAAAAAAATTAGTTTTCAAATATACTTTGTGGATTTTTTTTAATAATAGACATGCCTATTATAGAACTGCTATTTTAACATTCAGGAATTAATTTTTTCTATAATGTTTACCTTTTTTTCAGGTGTTGGAACAGGTCCACCCATCCCTTCAGGCGAAAGATGACGCCCTAGAATATGTTGAAAGTCTCATCCTTCGCCTGTTGGCAATGCTGTGCTCTCATCCAACTCCTCACAGCTATACTGATGTTGAAGAACGAGTTAGAAAAACATTCCCAAGTCCTATAGATCGGTGATTATTCCTTGTATTCATAAACTTTGTTTTTAAGTGTTATTTCTTTGTTTCAATTAGATTGTATTGAAATTTTCAAGTGAAATTATTACAGATTTACTTACCAGATGTGTAAATATGAAACCAGTATTTGTCCACATATGGCTCTACTAGTCGATGTAGTTACCGTCATAGCACATTGGTGCCATTTTGTTTCTTAGACAAATGGCTCAGTTTTTTAACTCATTACAAGACAAGTTGCATGTAGCGCCATCGTTTTAATAATGTTAAATATGTTGAATTTTGTGCCTGCAGTCTATGATTTGTGGAGAGTGTTAGTTTTCTGTTACCATTTAAAGAAAACTTTTACAGAATCACGTTGGAGCTTACAGCATGCTCTTGCTAAATAAAATTTCTGTGATTGATTTAAAAAGTCCGAAGTAGCAATTTTGACATGTTAAATAAAGAACATATAAGACCACTGAAAAGTTTGAAGACAGAAGTACATGCATTTCTGGATGTGGATGAAGCTTCAAACCTAACAACAACTCATGAATTAATTGAGTGTCACTCGAGGAGGTATCTCCATACATTGGAAATATATGGGATAGATCCAGAAGATAGGAAAATGGGTTCCATATGAAATGAATAAGTAATAAAACAACTTCCATAATGCTGTTCACCAGGTACAATAAAGTCATTTCTCCATCAAATTAAGACATGTGATGAAAGGTGAATATATTTTGATAATCCTAAGCATCAAACATCCATCAACATTGATTACATGGTTAAGTCACTAAGGAAAGAAAACAATGTTCTGTGTTTAGTGGGATCAAAAGGGTCTATGGAAACAGTTAATACTGAACACTATCTACTACAAGTGTTTAATTTGAACTGAATATTGCATGAAAAATTACCAGAATATCAAAAGAGACAGCACAAAGTGATTTCACTTCATGATAACGTGTAATATCGCATTGTGAAACCAGTGAAGGAAACAACTGAGATTTTCAGTTTGGAAATATTAGCATATAAGGCTTTCTCACCAGACTTGGTCTCCTCCTCTCCCCCGACAACTATTTGATTCGATGGATCACACATTCGCTCAGCAACGCTTCACATCTTATTAAAATCAATAGACCGGTTCACCTCAAAAGGGCAACAGTTTTTCTTGCATGGAAAAACTAAATAGCGAGAGAGATGGAAAAATTATATTGCTGCGGGTTATGGAAAATATTTTGAAGAAAATAGTTTTTAATATTTTTTTTGCAATAAATATATGTCTGCTATACGAAAATTCCGGTTTCATATTTATTCAGCTCGTAAGTGAGGTTATGATAATTCTTTTGTTTTGAATTGTTACTTTTATTCAGCTTAAGCCAAGGGATCCCAATCTTTTTATGGTCTGTGTGACTCCCAAGAGTCTGCATCTTAATGTGTTCCTGTACCTACTATCCTCCTCTCTTTTCAATATTCTGCCACTTTCACAATAATTACTTTTATATACTTGCTTAATAATTTAAAAATATTTCTTTCCTTTTGTAAATTTTAATAATATTCTTACACAATAAAAATAATAAATAACTATTATCTTGACAACAATAAAACTTATTTGTGGCATAATCATTTTTTTTTTTTTTTTTATCTATATCAAACATGCTGAGTTTATAGTACCCTTTATCCCAAAAAGGCAACAAATTAAATGTTTTTAAAGTAAAAAAAGTTGGGAATAACAGAATTTAAAAACCTCTTGACCTGGCCGGCTGTGTGACTATTCTAAACTTAAAGTACTCGTTAATGTTGGGTTGGACATTCCTGGTACAAATTTTGATTACATGAAATTTTAGTTTTATTTATTTATTTTTTTAATAATTAAACTTTGCACATTATAAAACAATAATATTTGTCTCAGGTGGGCTTTAAGTGATGCATTGGAAGCTAAAGAGGCCCTGGAAAAAGGAAAGAAGAAAAATCATACTCTCGTTTTGCCTGTAGATAAACTTCATCATCTTCTTCAAAAGGTAAAGAATTTGATCTATTTTGCACTTCCAATTACTAATATTATTAATCAAATTAACATTGTGTGTCTGTTCAGACACACATTCTTTATTGACTTATAAGAAAACCCCTTTGAGAAATACGGTAATTTTTTTTCCCCTCAGTTGTACAGTGTATCCTGTTATATTCTGAGCTGATATCAATCCAAAGGTTATTGCATTTTCTACAGCTAACCTTAATTTTTTTATTCTGGACTACAGAATTTCTTTTATATTTAAAGAATTAGTTTAATTTTTCAAATCTATCTGGCTCATTCCATTCCAGAAATTTAATCCTTATTTCCACAGTTTATAGTCGGAAACATCTGCCATATAGGATATTTCATGGTTCGTAGATTAATTGCATATACTTTATTTGGATACAATGTACAATGGAACTTATACTAAAGGACTTCTCATAAAACAACAATTTCATTTTTTAATACATTTGAAACTTATAATTACTGGAGTTTCTCTCAACTGGACATGGATACTGTTTTTTTCTCAACAAAACTTCTACCAAAAGGACAGTAAGCTCTGGGAACGACAATCTCTGAATCGTTTGTTTATGTTGGATTGTTTTTTAGGAAAATAATAAATTTTCCTGCATACAACCTTTTTGATCAAAATTGAAGATTTGTATTATGAGGACCAGAAAGCAATGTCATTTCTGTGTGTCACTATTTGATTGTTATTTTTCAATTCATTGTGTACATCTAAGTCATAGGAAAGACATTCTAAGGTTATAGTACTTTGTTTAGTTGTAAGTAATTAAATTAAAAATTTTTTGTTGCAATTTTTGGTGAAATAGCTAGCCAAATACCAGAAGAGGTATAGCAGTTGCTACCAAAAACATTTACGATTTTTATCCAAATGCATTAGACATTCGTGAATGCCAATGTTGGGTTTCCAAGTTCAAATCTGGTAATTTTGATCTTTTCAACTCGTATCAATTATGAAGACCATCAGCATTAGATAATGATGTGTTAATCCAAATTCCTGTCAGACAATCGAGGATTTGTCAAACAGACTTAACCAACCTTGGTCGACAATCCCAAAGCACTTGCAGATTTGGAAAAGCCACATGCAACTTATTGCTTCAACGTCACATACCGAAGTGTTTTTTGATCACTTGATCACCGCAGATGAAAAATGGATCCTCTATGATAATTCTAATCGCTAAAGGCAGTGACACTTTCCAAATGAATCTCCGCAAAGTACTGCTAAACTAGGTTTACATCCGAAAAAGGCCCTTTTGTGTGTTTAGTGAAATATTCGTGGCATTGTCCTTTAAATTGTTGAAACCCAGTGAATGCAGATATTGTGAACAATTGGATCATGTAAATCAATCTGTAATTGGAAAGTGGATAGCGATTGTCAACTAAAAAGGCATTCTGTAACACCACACTGGAGCAAGACAAACTCTGGAAAATATTAATGAATTGAGGTAAGAGGTATTGCCTCATACATCATACTTGCCTAATTTTGCACCATTGGATTTCATTTATTTATTCCGACCGCCTCAACACTTTTTAAGTGCCAAAAGATTTCCAAATTTCAATGATATCTGAAATGTCATCTCTATATATTTTGCGCAAAAATCGACTGATTTTTATCGATCTGGTGTTGAAAATTTGCACACTAGATGGCGAAATGTTGTTGACCTTGAGAGTGATTGAAATAAAACTCGTTAAAATTTATGTATTTGAATTTAATTTAAGAAAATGACAATACTTTCCGCTCTCCATAATATTTAGTTATACACTTTATTCAAATAGTGCACGTTATGTCTCAAGCAATAACAAAGAAAGAAATGTTTAGCTTTAAAAGAAAAAATGAAGATTATAAAAACAAGTGTATAGGAAAGATTAACTGTGCACGTTCTCAATAAACTATTTCAACTCTGTAACACATATGTAAATGACAAATTTAAAAATAAGTATCTTTCAAAAAGACACGAAGTAAGGAAATGGCTGGCCAAGTTAAAATATTTTTAAATTAGAAATAATTCTTGACAAAATCAGTTTGCTTGAACTAGAACCAGTGACATTCTGACATTAGGCTCATTGCTAAGAGGAAATATTTTACTAGTCGCCCAAATTTTGGGAAGTAATGATTTTGAAGCTAGTATGAGGTGCATGGACAAATTCAACTCCAGAGATTATATCATATACAAAAACTTACAATTAATGTAAGTTCTCCACTGACGCCAGTGTTGTCAGTGACTGGTATTCTATAGTGAAAAAAATCTATGCCAACTAGATACATTTTCAATTGTGATGAAACTACATCATTCTGTTATTGCTCTTTGAGATAAAACTTAGTAAGGGTGAAAAATAACTGTAAGTATTCTTGTAAGAGTTGGAAAATATTCAAACATTGACATATTTTTTCGCCACCCAATATTACTGTTATCTACAACTAGACTAGAAATTTGATAAAAACTTCTAAGTTTACTTTCATAAACTTATTAATTTGCTAAATAAGTCCAAATTGACAGATGTCTTAGATTTTTATAATTCTACATAGCGGACAAAGATTCCCTCCCAGTTATTTAAGTTCTATTGTATATCACTGATTGATACCATTAATGAGTGTCAATTTAGTGTTCAATCTGGTGACTTTACTCTTAAATTTTCCACAATAACTTAAACCTAAAGTAATAATGAAAAAAGCCATACTCGACATTGTTTCAGCCACCAGTTTAAATCATATGTTGATTTTCTATTATTTCATACTTCATTATTCATTTCTTATTGCACACTTAAACCAAATAGAAACATTTCTAACAGTGCTATAACGTATCTATTTACAGTTTACGATAATTTAAATGATTTTTTACAGGAAGTACTGCAATACAAGGTGGACACAAATGTTACTGTTTATATTGTTGCTGTTTTAGAATATATTTCTGCAGATATATTGAAGGTCAGTATCTTTTGAAAAATTTCTTATTAATTAGGCCAAATTAATGTTATCTATATTTTATATCATTTAGTGTTTGCTATTATTTGTGATTCATCAAGGTCACTTGTTATTTCAGAAAAAAATTATTTTTGATTAAACAACAGCTATTCGCGTTTTGGTGCTAACTCTTGAGTTATTCCGTTGGTTAATTATAAACATTAAATCTACTACCTGTTAACTATTATATTATTGTAAGGATTAATAAAGTAGCTTTCCTTCAATATTATATACGTATTATTTGTTTTAGTTGGCTGGTAATTATGTTAAAAATATACATCATGTTGAAATCACCTGCCAAGACATCAGGGTTGCTATGTGCGCTGACAAGGTAAGTTTTAATTTTTAATTAACATTATTCATTATCTAATTTGAAGAATGATATTACTTATTATTGTTTATTTATTTGTTGTAACTTAATTGGATCTAATTGGAGAAGAAATTAGTTTAAATATTATTTTTGTGCTGGTAACATCTGTAGAGTATATATTTTTTATTTATTGATTTTGATATTTAAGATAATCTAAAGCATCATAAACTTTATTAATTAGTGTTAAAACCTACTTCGGATCCCAACTTCCTACGTTTATTATCTTAATAAATCAAAATGACTAATCTTAATAGAGATGAACAAGGTATCAAATGAAAGGAAATTTAATGTTAAAGTGAGGAATCCCAATTTCAATTCTTTATTCCTTTTTACAAGTTTAATAAAAATTGAAGGTTTGAGTCTATTGAAGGCAGAAATTGTTATTAGTATTATTATTGTATGTTATCACTGAATTTAGGGGTGGTGCAATGCTAGTATATTGTTTTATTTGAGATAAAATTATAGGAATTGATTCAGAAAAAGTTGCTTCAGTTTTAAAATAGACAATTAAGTTTGAAATTCAAAAATTTTTAAATTTTAGTATCATTTAATTCATCTTTTTTTAAAATAGTTGGTATAGTAATAAAAAAAAAAATCTCAACGTACAGTCTGTAGCCATCATGTAAATCTATTCAACTGAAGTTATCAAGGCTTGTTGGGAATCGTAATTAAGGAAATGTTTTTGTGTGGTTCCAGAACTATCAATTTAACATTCAATGGAGGTCTTGCAAGCATGTTACTAATATCATTGTTAGTATGTTGCCTTATTAATGGCTTTTAAATTTATTTTATAAAATTGTGTATAAATTTGTATTGTAGATTTAACTTATAAAATTTGCACAAGCAAGTATTCTAGTAGATAAGCAACTAATTTTGCTTTGCTACAAATGCATTATTTTATTTATTTTTTTTTTTTATCAATCCAGGAAATAATTAAATGTGCTGTAAATAAAAATGCTTATAAATGTGATCAATTTATTTTCTGCTTTTTCATTATAATTTTTTTTTTACACATTTAATCGGTACTAAATTGTAAGAACCCATAGATTTTGCCAAATTTTTTTGTTTTTTTTTGGTTTCATGCTGTCGTTGGGTCATTGACTAGGTGGTATGTAATACACACCAGAACATGAATAGTGAGCAATGAAGTAAATATTTTTTGACTAATTGTAATATGTAATAATTTTTTATCCAAGTTGTATTTTAATTTTGTATTTTTTTTTTCTAAATGCTATATTCTTAATTTAAAAAAACTCCATAATTTTTCCTACTCCTTTTATATATATATACACTTACATTTTCGATTAGATTTTCATCATTCATTACCATGCATGTGTAGAAATGTGCATGTGTAATCTATTTTAATTATTGTATGTCTGCTTAGCTTAGAAGTTTAACTAAGAAATTAGTCCTATGTTATTAAAGTATGGAATAAAATGAAAGAAAAGAATATTAGTTCTTATTGTTTTTACAAATCTTATCTGTCCGTAATTATTATTTTCTTGCCTTTGATCCTTTTTTATTTCTTATTTAAACATGTATGTACTATAAAAATTTGCTTACACTGGCTCTTCCACAGCCATATTTTCCTTAAATGTTTCTTAAGTTTGTCATTTATATCTTTTATGGATGAAATTATCTGCATAGTAATATATTATTTGTATTGCTTTACATTATTTTTTATGCACTAAAAAATATGTTTTTGTAACTTAAAACAAGCAATGAAAACATACTTTCGGTTGGAAATTTTTATTAAATAATTTTTCAAAACTTTTCTCAGATATTCTAATCAATAAGGGAGCTGATTCTATGTAATGTGATTATTTTTCTCTTCTTTTCGTTTTCTAAACCACTTTGTATTCACAGTAACTAAAATTACAAGTTTTCAACTTTAGTGATTTGAGGAGATACAAACTTCATTATTTGTTAATTTTTATTTTTTCAAAATTTCTGATTTTATTTACATTTTTCTGTGAAAATGTGTTAATTAATAACAAATCCTTATTAGAAATTAATCAACAAATCCTTGTTGATTAATTTATATAAAATAAAAAAAGTAAAAGAAGACTTATTACAAAGAAGGAAAGATCTATTAACCTAGTATCACTAAAAGAAGTTTCATTGATCCCCATGTCCGTAACCTCCTCTTGGTAAGTTGAAAATAACATTTTGTTTTTTTCCCAAACCTTCCTTCCGGTATTACTTAAAAAATATTTAAAAATAAATTAGAAGATTGTGATGTCATCTTACAAAAGATTACACATCTATGTACACCTGTTGTCTGGCATTGAATCTTTTTTGGTGCCAGGGAATCATTGGTCTGTAATAACTATCAGGATTTATTCATACCCATTTGTCTAAAGCTTTTATGACGTGTGTGCCTCTCACTTTTTTAATACATTAGTTACGAGAATAATATTTCACTTATTTATATTTCTTTACTTCTTATATTGAGCCTAGTGTTGCTTTTGCCTCCGCAAGGAATTCACCTCCTGCCCTGGCAGACCAATCTCCATCTTTAGAGGAAATTAATCTGCCCTGTCCTGTTGTATGGATCAGAAACATGGTAGACCTGTAAAAGAATTTAGCAAGACCTAGTCTTTGAGGGGAAAATTCTTCGAAAAATTTTTGGAGGAGTTCATCTTAATGGAACTAGAAGGCAGGCGATTACGATTAAATATTCTCAATTATTAATGAAAAAGATGTTCTGACAACGGAGCTTCAGAGAGGCAATCCCTAAGATGGTTCTGAATGACCTCTCCATGGCACTAGTAGAAGGGGATGACAAAAACTGAGATGGTATGATGAGAGATGCAAGAGATATCCTGATGGTCAGGAGCTGGATGACTGTTATTGCACAGAGCAGAAATAACCGGAGAAAGGAAGCTAGTGGAGGAGTTAAGACTCTTATATACAAGATATATATTTAGATAAACCATATTTGCTCAAATATAGGTTAACCCCGGTTATAGAGGCTTATTACTGCTAATAAATCGCATGTCCTATTTTATGATTTGTCAATATTTTTTTAAAATCGGTATCATTTTAACTACTCTGCTAAGTGGTAAATATTCTAATCATTTTTAATTTATTTTTTTATTGAATTTGTAAATTAAATAGGAAATATGCCTAATTGGAAGATTGCCTCATTTAGAACAGGAAATATAGGCATTAATAGTTCTCCACAATTGATCAGCATATAGAGATTGCTTTGAATGATGTTATAGTACAGTGGCGGCCGTGGGATCAGGCAATTGCCTGGGAACACGGACCTTGATTATTTGTACACATAGAGGATGCACTAGCCACTTATTTGGAATTAAGAAAAAATTGCAAAGCATATGCGAATAATTAATTTTAGCCTATTAATGAAGTAAATTAATTAGAGTCATATTGAATGAAGTATTAATTCATATATTACTTAATATAAAACAGGTTAAGAAATAAATTTAGATTTTTTAAGGGAGAGATGACATCATTAATCAGGGGGACCCTAATGTCTAGTGTTGGCATCCAGATGTTATATTAGATATCGAAATTCTGAAGATTGAAAAAATATTTGGATAAGATTGGTGTTAGTGCTAAAGTCAATATTTTAATGTTTGTGTTTATATTCTGGGCATTTTTATTTAAATGTTATAGATTAAAATAATAATTAAACAATTGTTATTTAATAATAAAATAATCAAAATGTTAAAAAAAATAATATTTTTCTATCAAAACTTTTAAAAAGGATTTGTCTATTATTTTATTTACTGTAATATTTCAAATATAAATATTTAGATTTGAAAATACTATATTTCTTAAGTCTTTTTAAGAGGCTGGTTGTGTCCCAGGAGGTTCTCCAAACTCGAACCTGGGACTTAGAGATAAAAGCTACCTGCTCTACTATAACTGAAAGGGAAAAAAATATTTGTCATATTTATTTTTTACACATTTCCTAAAATACTTTTAACTTCAATGATAAAACAATTAAAATAAATTTTAATGCAAATTTGATGGTGAATCATTGAATTTTGTGTTAATATGGGATAAAATTAAGTATTTATAAAAAATAATCAAATTTCTGAACGTTACCTTTACCTTATGTCATATATCATGTATTGACAACCACAATGCAAAACTTTGTAAGCAAACTGTAAAAATAGTAAAAATGAAACATTTCCTCTTCTAATCTGAGGAGGAAAAAAACTCATTTTTTATTTTATGTACTGATTTCCTGTTCAATTTTCAGTGTGTTCTTAAGATAAAGATGTAATGTCCTTAATACATATTTATATCTTTATTATTATTTCTGAATATGTTCTGAGTCAAACCTTGTACGAAAACCTCATTATCATATTTTGCAGTGAAATTTTACTTACATGACTTTGCAACTTGACTATTGATATATTTATATAATGACCTCTGATGGAAGAGACTTACTCAGCTGTTATAACCAAACATACCACATAGATTAAGAATCCTCATACTTTTTCTACTTTAGGGCAGTTTTATAGTTTAATAGCTAAATGGCGGGAACCAATTGGTTTGTGCAGTTCCCGAAATTAATCATTGTTTGATATGGTTAATAATTTTTTATAAATGTAGTTTTGTTGGTGCTGCAATAGTGTTAATAATAGACAATTTTTTTGACCATCCGTTTCACAATTTTTATTCAGTTTGTTTCCAATCATTTACACTGGAACACTTAGTTGATTTAAAGTTGATATAATTTAATTTTTTTTTTTTAAGAAATGGCAATTGTCTTTGACAAAAAAGTTTTGAGAGAAGCAGGAAAATTATTGGTGATTATAAATGTGGATTAAATTAAAATGTAAATTAGCAGAGATTGGTGAAGATGGCTAATCAGTAGGTCTTGATATTGTCAATACTGTTGTTCATATAATGTTATTTATTTCCTTTTTAATGATCCATATCTCATAGTAAATAGTGATCTAAGTTAATAGTAAAGAATAATACTTTCTTATTTATTTATTTTTTAATTTGATTGCACCCAACATGTATTCACATTGTAAAAGGTCAAGAGAAACCCTGTATGAGAGTTTCATTTCTTTGATTTTTTTCCTCTCCCTGATGTTTTTTATTTTATTGTATTTTATTATCTATTTAAAAATTATCTGTTTCTCCTGTCTGCACTAACTTCATAATTTTTCGAAATTGAACCAGTAATTATTTTCACTATGGTAGCAGTTACTTAATTTCTATAATGTAGTGTACACCATTGTCTTTTATTAGTATGTTTTGATATTATTTATTTTATTATTTAAATTTTGATGATTATTTTACTTTAAAAAATAATTTTGTTTTATATTTTCACTGTCTTCATCATGAAGTTATTAATATATAATGAGTTAAAATGAAAAGCCTTAGGTTTCAAAGCTACTATGACCAACGTAATTCAATTATGTTTTTATCCACAGGTTCTTATGGATATGTTTTCCCAGGAAGATGGTCTTTTAGATATTGAATCGAATGAAGTTGAAGTCGGAAGTGTGCTCTCTACCAGATCATCCAGACATTCTTTGACTTATGAAGAAGTTGTCAAAGATTTAATCCAAGCGGAAAAACAGCACCTCCGTAATTTGCATATGATAATTAAGGTTTTCAGAGAAGAGATATGTAGGCTTATACCACCTGGCCATAATAAGGTAATTTATGTTTTATAATTGAAATACTTAAAAGTTTTCTGGAGGAGAGGTGAAGGTTAAAGGAATTAGCAACATTTATATTGTATTTTATTTGTTATACTAAAGTTATAAAAATATTAGTTAACATAATTAATAATTGCTGGGATTAACTGACAGCAAAGATGTACTTTTTTTTTTTTCTTTAATTTATTGGAAAACAACATATGAAAGAACCTTTTCCTGCACTTGTGTCTGTCCTTTCATTATTGACGTAACAATCAACTTATGAATTATAATTGGTAATTGGTTGACTGTCGTGATATCTTCAACTTATGAATTAGTTGAAGATATCAAAAGAAAGCAAAAATATGTAAGGTGGTGTATTAGACAAAGTTTATATGTATGAAGTTATTTAGAGGAAGGAGATTTGGTACTTATTTAATAGCGGGTAGCGTCTGACTGCGATCTGCCAATGTTTATAACCTTAACACTGACTGATAAGCTCTTCCTATTCATATTTATTGTATTGTATTCATATTATTATATCTTCCTATTCATATTTATTGTATTGTATTGATATTATTGAAATTGTAAACAAAAACAAATGTAATAATAAAAAAAATACTTTTATTTTACAACATATATATTAAAATAGACTAAAACATTATAAATATATAATTAAAAAACATTGCAACATATATATCAAAATAAATTAAATAATAAAAATAGACAAAAATAAATGAAATAATACTAAAACCACTTAAACAGCATATTACATATAAAAGAAACACTATGAAGAAACGATATAAACAAAATATGAAAAATTTTATTTCAACTTGATTTATTTTGGTAGAGAAAATAGTTTTATTGTATTTAAAATAGCGAGGAATAGTTGGATAATTGGATAGTTTGAGCTGCTCTTTCCCCCACTGTATTGTTGTTTAATTATGGGACCACCCATAAATGAATTTTAAAGCCGTTAAAAAAGAAATCCTCGACCCCTCTAACCACGTTCCTTTCCTTATAGAAACGGTTTTGTTACAACTATGAATGCATCACCATTTAATCTTCCCGTCGAACTTCACTTGATGACCTTCATCACAATATTTGACCTTTTGCAAATATCCTGGCGTCTTGAAAATATTTTATAGCCTCTTCTTCTGAAGACGGCACTTCTCACAATGTGACAACATCCATAATGAAATAACACTAACTCGCAGCTAACACAAGAAACAAAAAATAAACAAGGGGATAACTTAGGTTAGATGAGATAAGAGAGGTTATGTGAAATGAGATTAGATAAGAAGGGAGGCTTTGACGTTACCCGCTATTAAATAAATACCTGAGATTTTTCTCTCCTTAAAGACAACCTCCTGCACTTTAGCTCTACCAACAAGATTCTCCCTTAAGTTGTTATACACCATGTCTTGCTGTTGTCAGTTACTCTTATGAAATAAAACAAAAACCATCTGTTATTTTTTAGGAACTCGACTCCATGTTTAACAATATATTGGATATTTATGACCTCACTGTAACTTTGCTCGGATCCCTTGAAGATATGTTGGAAATTAGTGCAGAGAAGCAAGTTCCTGCTTTGGGCACATGTTTTGAAGAACTCGCTGAAGTAAATTTCCTTTCTAGATTTAATATATCTTATTGCTTTTTAATATAATCTAGAAGTCGTGACATATCAATAATTTACAGGCTGATGAATTTGACGTTTATGGTCGTTATGCAAAAGAAATAACTACCTCAGGCTGGTTAGAGGCGTTAGACAGGCTAGTCAGTCAGCCCGAAGTAAGCAATGCCCTTCAGTCTGCTGGTCAAGGCTTCAGGGAAGCTGTTAAGTATTACTTACCCAAGCTGGTCATCGCTCCCATTTCTCATTGCTTTTTATACTTCGAATACCTTAAGGTGAAGAATAACTGTATAACTATTTCTTTTATGTTGATTTTATAAATTATGTAAAGAAAAGTATTTTAAAATGTTTTGCCAATAATCGACATAGAAGCATTTTAGATTCATTTTTTCCTTATAAATGCCACAAAACAAAAATAATAATACTGTCACGCAGTGGTTAGTAAGATGGTTAACACAATATGCAGAGATTGAGTTTGATTTATTTAACTTTTATATTATTATTTGAAAAAAAATAGATATGTTTCATTTAAATTTTTGTTGTTCGGTCTTGATATGGTGGTACTTGTAATAAGATAAAATAAATTTCAGATATTACATCGGCTGACACCATCGGATGAAGATAGAGAAAGTCTGAAACAGGTTGAAGGAGTACTGAGGCCCTTACAAGTCGAAATAAACAGTCCTGAAGTCAACAATCTTATTAAAAGGTATCATAATAATATTCATTTTTTAGTGAATTTTAAATTATATTTTGATCTATCTTTTTATATTTTAACTATCTTGAGCTTCTTATAATAAGTTTTCTAAATTTAACCGACTTTGTAACCTAATTATTATTTTCCTGCCATTATGTACCAGACATCTATATTATAATGTAATTGGAATTGTTCGTGTTCACTATTCTTTGGGGACTAAATGTCCCAGAATAAAATTTACTTTCTTCTTAGGAAAATTAGATACGGATTTATTTATTATATTCTAGATTGACGGTGGCAAAGATCCTCTTGACATATATATATTCTGTGTTGTGATCTATTATTTCCTTGTTGTTATGAACAATTTCGATGATATTTGGTTTATTGGATGAAATGATCAAAATTTACACTTCAAAATAGAAACTGAAATTATTTTTTATCGCTTTCCTGTCATTTTAATGTTTAAATTAAGGGAAAACTTGTTAGCCCCTGTGTGAAATTTAAGTCCATTTACAACAGAATGAATTCTCGATTAATCAAATCAAAACAAGAAAGAATCTTTTTAATTATTTTAAAATAAAGCCCATCGATCAAATATCATTAAATTATTATTTAAATTACATTTAACATATAAAGATATAAAATTTATCTTTCTTTTCATGGACAGAACAATATTTCAAGCCTCATGTGAAAATCTAATTCTGATTGAATTTGAATATAATTTTGATTACATCATCAATTTATTGCTAATCCAATTACATTTCCAAATACATCATATTTATGTCTTAATTAGCTTTTAACGGTTAATTGATGTTAACGGACAGCTCTTATCAAATAATTTATACTTAGTGTTGAACACATTGTTGGCTGTAGACTGGATGGTTAGGAAGTTATTTGGGGTTGCAGTCAGAGAGAACACAAATAAAAATCAAAGATTTTTATTTTTATTTTATTTTGTGCCAATGTTTCGGCCTAAGTTGCTTGGCAGAGAAAAGACAAAATGACTAAAAACTATTGTAAAAGGATATGAGAACAAAAAAAATACCCTTTACTAATCTCATATTCTTTTAAAATAGTTTTTAGTAATTTTGGTTGTTGTCTTTCCACAGTCCTGATAAAGGCCGAAACGTTGGCTCAAAATAAAATAAAAATAAAAATCTTTTATTTATATTTGTTTTCTCTCTGACTGCAACCCCAACCAATTTATAATTACATTTAGATGAATAGTTGTATTTTTTTTCAAGAGAGCTTGTTATTGTTTTATTTAGTGATTTAATTTTTGATGGATTCGGCCAACTCTTTTTATATTTTGTATTGATGAATATTTTCAGAAATTCTGAAAAATTATAGAATTTATGATGAAGCTAATTATCACTAATCTCAATAAAGAGACTCAAACATTTAAAATTAAAAATAAATCCTGTTATTTTATTCTTTATGATTAACCTAAGGGTATTTATCATAACTCATTGAAGTAAAAATATAATTCAAACCATGTTGATTTTTGTTGGATGTTGTATTTACTTCTTGGTGTGGTAGGTTTTGAGAAGTGTTAATATGTTTTTAAAAAAACGGTTAATCATTAGTTTCATGTTTACAGAGAAAATATCGTAAGGACAAATGGAAGGATGAGGCGACAGTTGGCTATCGAAAAAACAAATGAGCTACAAAAGACAATAGATGGGTGGGATCTCAAAGATTTAGGACAATATTGTAATGAATTAATAAGAGGTATGTTTTAAAGTTATTTTATATACTACTATTACAGCATCACTATATAAATATATAACCAATCACTATATAAACAAAACAGTTCAGTACTTTTTTCTCCTCAATTCTCAACCTATATATATATATATATATATATATATATATATATATATATATATATATATATATATATATATCCTATTGACAAGCTTTAGTGTTATCGATAAAAAAATTTTGGGAACACTCATATAAATAAAAATATAAATATTAGTTTGTTCAGAACCCGTTATCCTGAAAGTTCTTCGCCAATTACTTTGAAATCTGGACAGAACGTTGCAATCTAATTCAAAAGTAGTTTTATGTAATTTCATTACCATTTAGCTTTTCATTTCGAAACGGAGGCCAAAAAAGCAGTGTCATTACAGACCCCATAGCGCCATAACTGCTGTAATGATTTTAATGAAACTGCTAAAGTCTTCTTGAAGCCCTTTTAATTTATGTTTGCAACATACTTCTCCAATAAGAGGCTAAAAAAAAAATAGTGACGATGGATTCAGAATTTTATTTGCGACTCAAAAATTACAGAGGTGTTACTGAATTGTTTTGTATTATAAGTAAATAGAAAAGTGGATTTATGGATGTATTATAGCAAATAACAATATATTGGAAACATGCAAATTCCTATGTTTTTTTTTTCTTCAAATTTTTAATGATTTATATGATCGAATTATAACCACTCGTCCACTAGTTATTATAATTTGACTTATATTATTTTGGAACTATAGCCTAATTTCCCATGAATATTAATAAAATAGAAATATAAGAATTTTTTATAGTGATTACTTAATTTTATATTTTTAGAGGATGTACTTGTAAAATGGTCTGTTAAGACCAGGAGATTAACAGAACGAAGAGTATTTTTGTTCGACGGAGTGCTTGTGTTATGTAAGCCTATTACGAAAAGAGCAGCGGTCTCCGTACCGCCACAGCTGGGCGGATCGCAGGCAGATTACAGATTGAAAGAGAGATTCTTCATCAGGAAAGTTGAAATCACCGACAAGGATGACACTGACGGTAGTATTTCTGTTCAATTTATCCAGAAGTAAAAAACATTTATATTGTTAACTACTATACGAGATTGTTTTTAGACTTGAAAAATGCCTTTGTGATTTCTCCTCGTGTCCCTCCTGCTGTTATCCTCGTCGCCAAATCGCCAGAAGAAAAAAACAATTGGATGGCTGATCTTATTATGCTTAATACTAAAAGGTGCCTAAAACTTTTATTCTCATTTGTTTGTTTGTATATTAGTTGTAAATGTTTATTCTTTTTGTTTATTTATGTAAAAGATACAGGTAATGAATATTTTTTCTCAGTATTGCCTTTTTTGCATGTTTTTACACTTAAATATCTAACTATGCCAATTTAATGGGGAAGAAAGACGTATTATACATGACATTATTCTAGAAAAAATTAATAAGTAATATTCAAGGAAATGGAACACCTGTGTTTTGAGTTAAAGAAAGGTTATCAATTTCCTACTTTGATTCAATTACCTAAATGGCAGAGCGGAGACATGGATAATGGCAGAAGATAAGTATCAGAAGTTTGCCGTATTTGAGCGAAAGATCCTCCTAAAGATATTTGGACCGGTGCTGGTTGGTGAAGAGTGGAAACAAAGAATAAATGATGAGGTTTACAATCTCTTTGGCGAGCCTAGCGTTAGTGTTATCAAACGTCTAAGATGAGCTGGACATATGGTCAGGATGGGGGAACAGGAATCTCTTACACGGTTACTGATGGGGAGAGTTGGCCGCCTTTGATTTCGATGGATTGACTGTGTGGCTGAGGATGCAAGGAGTTTTGGAGTCCGCAAATGGATGGCAGCAGCGCAGGACAGAAACTTCAACTTCACTACTTTTCTGGTTGCTGCAAGGGGGCAATTTAAAAAAAAAATCTATGCTTTGCATTTTTGGGAATTCTGAAGGTGTTATTCATCATGAATTTCTTCCTGATGGATGCTCTATGAATTCTAAACTCTACTGCAAGCAGCTAGAAAAATTGCATGCGAAGTTACAAGTGTTATTCTGCTTTGATCGACTGAAAAGAAATTTTATTCTAACAATATAATGATAACACTTCCCGTCGAATCAAAGAAAAGTTTAGAGAAGTTAAGGGGTTTGAACTCCTGCCATATCCACCATGTAGTCCAGACCTCGCACCATTGGGTTACTACAGGGCACGATTACCTGCAAAGGCATTTATATTGGACTGGAGTGGTGGTAAGTCCTGTGTGCCCTCTTTGCTAGGAGGAAGAGATGTACTACCTGCACCTCCCAGTTTGCCCCGCTCTATCAGATGTCCGCGGTACTTCTGATGGGATCGGAACAAATTTAAATAAAGGATTCATGGCGGAGTTGTATTGGGCTGCCAGGAGCCGAATGGCCTAACAGCCAATAGTAGAGGCAAAAAAAAAAAGATCCACGGCCCATTTTCTTCAAGGAAAAAAATTTGATAACTTTGCGGAAGTTGAAATTGCGATCCAATAGTTCTTTGACAGTCATCCCAGAGAATGATATCAGCGTAGGATCGAGCAGATGGCTAATGCCGGTAGATAATAATGGACTATACTTTGAGTATTAATTGTATTTTATATCAAAGAAATAATAGGGGTGGTAATTATTTTTTATACACCCTATTACTATTGTTAGTAAATAGTTTTAAGATATTTTTAGATGTAAAAATTGATTTTTAAGATCTATTTCTTAGTAAATTTAGATTTTCAGATCTGGCTTATTTTTACTGTTCCATCTAATATATTTTTTTCACTTTTAGCATGTTGGAACGGATTCTAGATAGTATATTATTGAATGAGGAAAAGAATCACCCGCTGAAGTTGCCATCTCCTAGTGTTTATCGATTTGCAGAAGCTGATTCGCCATCTAATATTGTTCTTGAAGAACGGCATAATTCAGGAGTGCCATTAATAAAGGTACTTGTTCATTCATCATTATAAAAATTTGAAATTGATTTATTATTTTTCTGACATCTTATATTTTTGTTTTAGGGTGCTACACTTTGTAAACTTGTGGAAAGGTTAACGTACCATATATATTCTGACCCAATGTTTGTTCGAACATTCCTCACCACCTATCGAAGTTTTTGCTCACCTCAGGTAATAAAATAATTATAATTTTTCATATTTACTAATGATATTACTACTTTCTGTAATTTTCATCTCCTTATGAAATTTATCTGTTACAGGAACTTTTGTCATTGTTAATAGAAAGGTTTAACATACCTGATCCTTCAGTAGTTTATGGTGAAGAAGATAATAGCTTAAATAAGCCAACTTATAGAGATGATTGGAAACGATACCGTGAAAAATATTGTCAGCCAGTGCAATTCAGGTATGTAAATCCCTAAACTTCACGGTTGATTTATTTGCTTTTTAGATTTTACGAATTTTCTACGACCTGTAATGTTTTTTTTGACAGAAATATATTGACTAAAATAATGATTCAAATTTTAGTATGTTTTATTCTTAAATTATTTCTTGATCAAGACTAAAACTCCAAGATTATATTCTTGAAACATAATGGAACTGTTTATAATCCCTAAACATGATATCACTATAGACAAACATTTGGAAGGAGTCCCTTTTGAGCCGAACTTGGACCTACAGATTACTAAAAAAAAAAGGTACCACCACAGCCCATGTCTTGGATTCAGTACTTTATAAAGAAGTATCGTTTCTGGACCGGTTGTGCAAAGAGATGATTGGGCTGGTATCATGCTCAACCACCAGGTTTTCTCTCTTAATTAATTAATTTTAATTTAGAGTATCCACTTTATAGAGGCTGGACTTGCCCCAGGAGAGTCGATCCACGGTTGATAACAAAATTACTTTTCATCAGCTGTACTTGAACCCGGGACCTTTAAGCTCTGGAAGTTAGTACATACACACTGAGCTACCTCGCTCCCAAATATACCATCATAAATTTTTTTTTTCAACTTATCATTTGATTTGTTTTACATTTTTTCAATAACAACAGGTGTCATGACCATTTGCTCTAAAAATGGTCTACATTCCCCTTGAATTGTTTAACTATTTCATTCATTCATTACAAGCATATTTTTTTTTTTGTTCAGAAATAAAATAATTAGTGCTTGCATTCAAGTAGATGTTTTGCTTTCAACTTCAATGCATTGTTCTCCGTTTTGTTATTGCTTCTCTTCTAAATAAAAACAGAATTAAATCTTTTTATCTTCTTTCTTCTTTGCATTTTCGTCTATACAGAGGTTTTTCAAGACCAGGAGTTAATGCCAGAGTTCTTCTTCTTAGGAGTTTAAACCCTCCCCCCGGCACCAGGGTTTGAACTTGTAATCTTCGGTTTATCAGGTTGCTGGACATCACATGTTAGTAGCCCGCTCGGCCACCCCACCTTATTATTTAAAGTAAATTTAAATTTCTTCTGTTACAGTTAAGAAAACTCATCTTCATTCTTTTTCTCTAATTAGCTGTTCTCTGATTTTTTTTTAGAATCTCCCTTAATTTATTTCTAAGGATCAATATATTTAAGAAGAAAGGTTATTTTTTATAACTATGAAAACTGAGATTATTACAAACTTTTCTTCAAAATCTCCTCGATTTATAATTAATAATACATTAATTTTTACATACTTCCTTGAAGCATTTTTTTTTTTTTTTTTTTTTTAATTAAATAGAAAGCCTAAAATGTAGAAGACATATGTATAACAGTATCTTACTATTTCATTTCTTGTTTGTTTTTTAATTTTTATATATATTTTTATTTATTCAAACTTAATTATAACACAAGCTCAAACAATTTTTCAGGGTTTTAAATGTTCTTCGCCATTGGGTTGACCATCATTTTTATGACTTTGAACGTGATCGTTCATTATTAGAAAGGCTAAGGTATTTTTTAGATTCTGTTAATGTGAAATCAATGAGGAAATGGGTTGATTCTGTTTTGAAGATCCTTCAGAGAAAGGTTTGTTTGTCATCTAATAAAAACATTTTATCACATATCTCTTGTTTATTGGTTTGGTTTAATTTATATATTTATTTTATAGTGTGAAACTACCGAACAGCTGAGAGAAAGAACATTTGCGTTCGGTCATTCTCCTCCACCTATCGAATGGCACATAGTTTGTCCAGAAGAAGAATGGAATATTTTAACTGTAATGATATGTTTTTTCTTTAGTTTCACTCATGAGATATGCAACCATTGTGATTATTAATTTTTTTTTATCTTTAATCTTTAGCTCCATCCTGTGGAAATCGCTCGACAGTTAACATTACTCGAATTTGATCTTTACCGTGTTGTAAAACCGTCAGAACTTGTTGGTAGTGTTTGGACGAAGAGAGATAAAGAGCTCACTTCGCCTAATCTGTTGCGTATGATAAAGCATACAACAAACGTAAGTTAATAATTATTAATATTAAGTAATTTACATCATAGTTTGCTGAAATCTATGTAAAATGTATTAATTGTTTTGTTTAATAGCTATCTGATGATGTTTAATTTTTTTATTTTTTGTTTGTTAAAGTTCACAAGGTGGATAGAAAAAAATATTGTTGAGGCTGAAAACATCGAAGAAAGAGTCGCTATAGTTTCAAGAGTCATCGAAGTGATGATAGTGCTCCAGGAACTGAATAATTTTAATGGAGTTCTTGCCATAGTATCTGCGATGGGTTCTGCTTCAGTTTACAGGCTCAAATTTACATTTTCGGTGTGTTATCATCTGTTATTTTAACATCTTCTATAATGTATTAAAAAATATTATTATTATTATTATAACATATTTATGTATTAAAGCTCATCTTAACATTTTCAATTGTATATTCTTGCATTTTTCTAAGAACAAAACTCATTCTTTTTTTTTTTACATTTTCTTTTTTTTAAAATAATTTTTAAATAGTCTATTGCTACATCAGCTGTTATTGAAACTAAAAAATTACTTTTTACTGTTTTTTAGAAACTAAGATAGAAAATTATTGGATAAATATTTTTGGTTCATTTTTTACTTTAATTCTTTAGAAAAAAATCTATTGAAATTTGTTCTTAATTATTTTTGAAACATTTAATTTTTATTTTATTCAATTAGATTCACCGAATTAATTGTTTAAGTTATTTTAATTTAAATGACAATTATATAACGGGAAAAATAATTTTATAGAAACTGGAAATTACTCATCTTCTGAGCCAATTTTTATGACTTGTATATTTTGTAAAAGCCAATAAAATACATTTTAAAATAAATATTTTTACTCAGAAAAGAGGGTGAAAAAAAAAAACAATTGAAAAGATATTTCTTGAATAGAATTTTCGAAGCCCCTTTCTCACCACTGCCTTCACAGAATTTTTCTCGAGCATGGGATTTATTTATGTCAGAATTAAAAACATTCCTCCCCATGCACCGGTACACAAAACTCCTATTTATTTTGTCATGTTAACTTTGGTTTATCAGGTTGCTGGGCAAGGGCAATGGGGTAAAGTGGCTAAGCAGACAAACATAGGTTTTTCACAGCAACCTGACAAAGGATAATTTGATAAAATAATTACAAGTTCACGTCCTGGTACCAGAAGAGGCTTTTAACTCTGCCATTCATCCCCTGCCCTCACTCCTTGGTCTGGGAGAACTCTGTATAGCCTACAAGTCGAGGAAGGGAAAGACAAAAATAAAAAAAATAAAGGTTGCCAGGCTACATGTTAGCCTGGTTGGACACCTCTCTCTGGGAATTTTTGAAGCTGAAAACTCTATTCCATGCCTAGAGTTATGTATCAGAAAAATTTGAGACTTATTGCATTTTTATTATTATAATCTAATCTTCAATGGAAAATAAAAAATTATGGATTCGTGGAAGTACCCAATATGTGTTATTATTTATTTAAATAAATCTGTTTTTATATATTTTTTTTCTTTCCTTTTATAGCAAATATCAGGTCGTCTTGACAAAGCTCTAGAAGAAGCAAGAGACTTGAGCAACGACCACTTCAGAAAGTATCAGGAGAAATTACGCTCCATCAATCCCCCTTGTGTTCCTTTTTTTGGTACGTATTTTAAATATCTTTATCGTTAATTTTTAATATAACGTTATTGTATTAGTAATAGGAATTATTATTATAATGCTATATTGAGATAAGAAAATATAATGGTTAAGGACTACTGCACTTATACTTGGTCTTTATTATTGGTTAATTATGTTTTAAAAATGAGTAACATATCATTATCAACCACTGCTAATCCAAAAATGCAAAGCTTACGGAACACCATTAAACATCTTATTTTTTATTATCAATTTTAATTTTTTTTTTATCTAACCAATGACTCGTTAGTGGAAGAGATCCCCTTAATATCTTTTTCACCTCCAAGCATTGGAATAAGAAAACACAATGGTTAGAAACTACTTGCACTTCTAGTTGGTGTTTAGTTTTTCTTTCTTTTGTTACATGTTATTAGTTAATAATAATGTAGTAAAAACGTGTAACTTTATTACTTCATATTTATTCAGAATATAGAAGTGAATTATAGAAAAAAATATTTAAGAATATGATGATTATTACATGCTCAGTAATCCTCTTCACTTGTTTTACTTTACATTTACCTGTATAGAGGCCCTAGCGGTCACTGTGATTTCAAGGGCGATTATTAGGTATCGTGAGATTGCAGTGCATAATAGAAGAAAAGCGGTAAGGTCGTTCAAGGTTAACTTCCCATCCTGAAAACAGATTTTACAAGTTCGCGCCCTTTAAGATCACCATTCTACAGGAAACAGTCTGCATTGTCCCCTACAGCGGATCAGGAGCTTATAGATTTCAGAGTGATAAGTGAGAAGACGGCTTATCGAGTATGAATTGATGTCCCATTCTCCAGCAACTGGACCTCTGCTTTCCAGTGAGAACGTACCGAGTTCAGCACTTGAGGTTTGCCCAAAAACACCTTTATTGGACTCCGGAAGACTGGAGTCATGTATTATTCATCAACAAGTCCAGATTCAGGCTAAGGTCTCCTGATGGACATGAAAGAGTGCAGAGGAGGCAGGGAGAGAGGTACAGTCCTTGAATTGTTCTTCAAGAGTTGCTTTCGGAGAAGATTCTATTTGCTATTTTAATGAACTATCCTATCATATTCAAAAAGAATCCTTTTAAAAATGTCTATTAAAAATCAGTAAAATTAAAATATTGAAGTGATCCTTTAATTTTGTCCGGCAGTGTACATAATTCATTTAAATAGATTTATATGTACTAAAAATTGTATTAAGACTTTACATCACAATCATTAGGTACTGTATTTCATGAAGAAATAATTTATTAAGCGTTTGTTTTTATATGAATAAGCATGATATTTAGATTATTATTTATCGTAGAATTGAAATTATGTATGATGGAAACTATTATATTTATTATTCTAGTTAAAATAGTAATATTTGAGCAGCTGTGCTTGTTACTTTCACTTATCTATATATGTAATATATAGTAGGGGAAAGTATTGCTATCGTGAAAATTTCCGAATCTTGAGTTTTCAATGGAAATACATGTGTTGAGGTATCCTGAGTCCAAATAACCAAGTCTCACAAAATGGTCTGTGTGTGTGTGTGTAGTTAACAGACTAGCTCAAAAACGAAAATTCATACGAAACTGATATTACCTATTTATGATAGATATATGCCTTAGACGTAACAGCAACTTTTTCCTTAAAGTCAGCTAACCACCGGAAGTGCCACTTTATAATCAACTGTGAAACACATTTTTACAATTTTCTCAAAAACGGCTCTATCGATTTTAATTAAACTCATCATGTGTATCATTGTATTATGAAGTGGTATTCAATATCAATATCAATCAGGTCTTATCCCCATTGATGTCACTTTACAAGGCTTAAATGCCCAATGTTCATATATGTCTTCCTCTAAAGTACCTTTGATATGGTTTATATTAAATAATTAATCATCTCACATTATTTAGAGTTACGAAAAAATGCTAAATATAACTTTGGATAATTGAATAGAGGAGAAAAAAATAAAAATGCTTATCCAGGTCGAAAATTAATATCCTAAATACTAGTCAGAAGGTTTATGTATAATATATCATTAGAAAGCATAGAATTTTAGAAAAACCAATATTTAATGTAGAAAGTTGTAGATGGTAACAAAGAGTGGAAAAAAAATTATAAATAATAATTTTTGGAAGCTAATATTATTTAACATTAATCACATGTTTTCAAGGAAATTAATGAAATTTAATAACTAAATTAAAGTTTTAAAATATTTTTTTGTTTGAAAAAAAGTATTTAAATCCACCTAATCAAGGCAATACCATTATTAAAAAAACTATTTCATTGTATTTGTATGAAAGAATAAGTGAAATATCAAATCATTTCATAGATGTATAAAGCATATGTTTATAACCTTAAATACATTTACTGTAGTTTCATAATTCTAGATCTGATATTATATTTAAATAATTAGATATCAACGTCCGTTTATTCCGAAAAATTATGTAACTCTTAAAAAATTAAATTAGTGAATAATTTGATGAATTTTTCCTTTGTGTTACTAGAAAATAATTTCTATTCAAAGTTGAGTGGTAAGAGAAAGTTGTATGTTGCGTGCACCAGAGGTGATAAATGTTGATTCCTATTGATAGAATGCTTAAATACAAATTTAATTCTCATATTTCAGTTATGATGTGCTATTATTTCATTGCTTTGCATTTAAATGTTTCAAATACTTCTTTACCATTATTTAGATTGTATAAATATTTATCTTATATTACCTTAAATTTATCCATAAATCTTGGTGGTGTTAATGCCAGGATCATTGCTGACAATTTTTTTTAAAGTATTTAATAAAAATAAAATCAGGGTGAGATAAAATATTGAAATAGAAAGCCATGCATGAAAATAAGATTCCACTTTATAGCACTGAATTAGAATTAATTTTTCATCGTAGAAATATTGGGTTTTACCTAAATGTAAAGAAATTGTAATTTTAGGTATGTATTTGACCAACATTTTACATATCGAAGAAGGCAATCCTGATACCTTACCTTCTCAGCCCCAGCTAATCAATTTCAACAAACGAAGAAAGGTTGCAGAAATAACTGGCGAAATACAGCAATATCAAAATCAGCCCTATTGCCTAAGTGTTGAGCAGAGAATCCGGGTAAGCATTTTATTTATGATTATTTTCTCCATATTCTTCATGATAAAATCTCTTATATCATTTTGAATATACGCTTGACATTTAATTATTTTTACTGACATATGCAGAATACTGTCCACTTGAAATATAGAATTCAGTACTTTCATAAAGAGCTTTTGTGAATTTTTAATACACTATACTGGAAAAATTAATGTTTTAAATATACTAAGGCATATTATTTAAATATTTCATTGGAAATATAAATGTGAATTATATCTTTTCATAATGATGTAGAGTTGGTTGACCGTTGATATGATATGAGAAGGAATTAGTCGAGGGTGCGGTCAAAAAAATAAAAAAATTAAAATATATAAATAATTTTAATTTTTGCCGACGTTTCGACCCACTTTGCAGGTCGTCTTCAGGGCTACAAAAGATACAAACATGTTGAAAAAATAAAAATAAAATAAAAAATAAATATAAGTATATATAAATTACGAAGAAGTTGTCAGATACAGAAATAAAAGATAAAGAAAATAAATACATGATAAGAAAATAGATAAAAGAAAATAAATACATGAATGTTAACGAATAAATGAATGTTAACGAATAAATTGATTGAAAATTGAATAACTATTGTTACAGTAAAGTTAAAATATGGATAAGATAAGATATGGATAAGATATTCTTATTATTATGTTATCTTATCCATATTTTAACTTTACTGTAACAATAGTTATTCAATTTTCAATCAATTTATTCGTTAACATTCATTTATTCGTTAACATTCATGTATTTATTTTCTTTTATCTATTTTCTTATCATGTATTTATTTTCTTTATCTTTTATTTCTGTATCTGACAACTTCTTCGTAATTTATATATACTTATATTTATTTTTTATTTTATTTTTATTTTTTCAACATGTTTGTATCTTTTGTAGCCCTGAAGACGACCTGCAAAGTGGGTCGAAACGTCGGCAAAAATTAAAATTATTTATATATTTTAATTTTTTTATTTTTTTGACCGCACCCTCGACTAATTCCTTCTCATATATCTTTTCATGTTCAAATATTGCTAAATGTAAATTATATTTGTGCCTAACCTCTAATGTATTCAAATAATGATATAAACATAAGTTTTGTGTGAAATATTAATCAAGAAATATTTGTTTAATGTATATATTTTTTTTCAGCGGTTTATTGAGAATCTTTCTCCATTTGAAGGAATGGAAGATGCTGAAATCAGTAACTACCTTTATAATAAGTCCCTTACTATTGAACCTAGGAATTGCAGGCAGCCACATAGATTTGTAAGTACAAGTTGTACTGCTGCTTTATTGCCTTGTTATAGTTTAAAAGTGCGTTATCTATTAAAAGTGTATTCATTAATAATAGGTTACGTTTTAATTGTCTGAAATTCTGTTGATTAAATTGCTCTCAATTCTTTTGTTTTAGTTATTCCATGTCCAATAGTTGTTGTATTGGATATTTGAAAGTAAAAAGTATCTGTTAAATTTTTATAATTGAATATGTCCCCTCATTGAATAACATATTATAGTCTAGGTTACATTACTTTTACTACTGTGCTACAGGAAAATTAATTAATTTATTTTTTCATTATTAGCCTAGAAAATGGTCTGAATTAAATTTAAAGTCACCTGGGATCAAAGCAAGGACACTTTCGAGATCACATGGCCCACCGCAACCACTAGTTATGGTTCCACATGGTCATGAAAATACAGAAGAGTCACCTAGGACGCCTGCTGCGACACCACCGCATCATCATGGCTCATCTTCAGATTTTTCTGTATTCGCTGAAATTCAGATACGTGGTATGAATTTATTTTTAGCTGGCTCATATTCTGAATAATTATTTGAAAAACTGTGATGTTTTGATTCTACACTTTACTCAACTTTCATTTTTGTTATGGTTTCCTGTCAGCTATTAAATGATAATCTGATAATCAAATAATAAATATTGAAGCCAAAAAGAGATAATTAGGAAAAAAAGATAGACAATTTTGCTTTGCTTATATTTAATACAATCTAATTGAGCTAATTAGATTTTAAATTTATTTCTGATGGATATTTGAACATATTCAACGACCATTAATTCTTTATTTGTTTTTTGAACTCATTTTATAGATTTTTCAGAAGTTTACTTCACCAATTATTGTTAAATGTTTTCCTCTGGGACCCTTATCAGATTAAAAAAAAATTGTGGCATAATTTTCTTTATGGAGGGGTATAATTGAATTGGTATCCATTTTTAATACAATATTTATAAACCAATTAAAATTTTGCCCATATCATATATAGTGATAAACATATATTAATTTTAATTTTAATTAATATAAGTGAGAGGCCTCTGGTTTGGGTCTCAACACCCACAATTGGGAACAATTCCAAAAAGAACAAGGAGCTTCCTCGAGGAACTAGGTGTCGACATTAAGGACATACCGAGGTTGGCTGAAAATATAGTCCTCAACTCCCTGCAAATCATTCACCACTACGTACATGGCTAGGCTGGGAGTTTTAATTTATGTATTTATTTATTTATTTAATGGAAAATGGAAAAAAAAAAAGAGAGAGAAAGGGAAAATAAATGTTACAAAAAAAAGAAGAAAAAAAAAAGTATATACAAAAAAAAATAAAAATAATAATGCATATATATATATATATATATATATATATATATATATATATATTGTATACTATGCTCATAAATATTGTTAATCCTATATATTATTTAAAAAATTGTCTGTAGTGATTAATAAGTATGCTGTGTTTTTAGCAACCCAATGTAATTGGGCAGCACCATTTTATGATAATAAAGTGATTCTCTTTTTCACCAAGTTAACCTTATTAAAATTGAATATTATTGTCACAATTACCAGATTGAGCATCCCTCTACTATAGGGCAAATGCTAAGAGTACTGAGTACCAAGTATTTTACTCAAATACTGAACTTTTATTAATACTAAAGAATTTAACTTCAGTTGATGTCAAATGATGAAGTGAAGTAATGATTGAATTCCCAATATTGATCCAATTTTAATAAAATACTTGGTACTCAGAGTAGCATTTGCTCATCTCTGCTATACGGCCACCACTGGAAACTTATTTATGATACCAGGCAGGAAAAGATTATGGCTTTTTATTTACTTTTCTACCTATACTAGGTAAGGAAAGTATTGCAATCGGGTCAAATTTCTGACATGCGGTTTTCGACGGATCTATACGTTTCAGATGAGTCCGAAAAACACAATTACTACTGATGCCTGTGACAGAAATTCAGTGCTCCATGCACAATAGCTTGCACTCAATAAATGAAAAACATGTTTTTCTATAGACTGCAGCGCAAAAACGGCTCTAATGATTTTGATGAAACTTTCCTATAATGTTCTAATCAGTGTTCTTTCAATTTTCGTTTATAGACTAAATTCCCGAAAAAATTCAGGAAAAAAAGTTTTAAAGAAAAGAAAAATGTTATGGGGCCTAACTCCCTAAGTATATATTATACGCTAAAATTTAAAACTTTTGAAAGGTAATGAAATTTTCTACAAAGCCATATAAAAATCATTCATTTTGGACTACTATTTACGAAGTTACAGCTATTCAATTTCCAATGTAAGATTACGGTTTCATATCCTGGTGTCAGAAAGGGGTGAATGAGAGAATAGAGATGACTAAGTGAAAGTAAGAAAATCTGTTGCCCGAATCACACAATCTTCACTATTTCCTCTACTTTTAACAGAAATTATTGTTTGACAATACTAAGCTATGGCAAAAAGTTTTTGATCAGCAATATTAGGAAGTATTAAAATTTTTACACTGATCTACCTTATGCCGGTTTACATTGCTTTAGTTTATCAAATAAATCGTACACAAATCTTACGTTTGATCAATTTTTAGAAAATGTATCTAGTTCAATTCTTTTTTTGTTTCTTCATGAACATATGTAAAGATATAAAAACTTTTTTGAAATAGGTAGAGAAGTCGTGTGAGTGGACACACCAGATTTTTTTTTTCCAAGTATATTTCTGCATCTAGTGTTTTTTGACCAAATCACTAACCATACAACAAACTGATATAATTATTTTAAAAACAGCTGGCAGCCAGAGTCCCGGTAGCGTATCCAATAGTGGATTGTCTGTCGTGGGGCACGCTCCACCACTTCCTCCTCGTGCCAGGAAAAGGCAAGATTCAACCCCACCTAGTCTACCTCCTCGGGAGTTGTCTCCTCCGCCTTTACCACCGAGAGCCAGGCGGCATCTTTCTGAAACATCACTTCACGGTAAATAATTCAGTTATGTTTTACAAACTTTATTCTTATTTTAACTTTTCTTTTTAGTAAAAATTACGCATTTATCTGATTTTCTATATGAAATTTCTCAGTTTTAATATTAACTAACATGTTAGAAATAAAACATTTCATATTGGAAACAATCAAAATATATCAGAATTTGAATTCCATATTTGAGTTGTTATGATTAGAAAAGTAAAGCCACACTTTGCCTTGCATCTCTAAAATACAGGTAAAAAAACAAACACCCATCTTACTTATGACAGGTTGGTTTGTTCTTTATCTACATTTTAAGGTGCATTTAGAAATCTCACAAACTATAAGAAACACAATTATCTAACTTTACTAACAGTGACATTGTTGCTGAACAAAACTATTTCTTTCATTTCTCTTGGTAGCGGCAGCAGATGGAGAATATCAAAAACAAGAAACAAAAGTACTAACATAATGAAATAACCATTTATATATTTGATTGTCTCATAGTTTGTGAAATTTCTGAGCACACTTTAAGAAACATAGGTCTATGTGGTTGGATTTTTACTTTCATTTACCTATTTATGAAACGTATAGTGAGGAAAAGTATTGCAATGATGAAAAAATTCTAATCCAACTTTTCAATGGTTATACATGTTTTAACATTCTCTAAGCCAGTGTACGAAACTGAAATTTTGTATTTAAGGTTTATCTGGGATGTTACAACTTTTTCGTCATAATCGACAAACCAGAAGTGTCTCTTCCAGCTCTATATCTCTCTTATATTTGACAAATAATAATAATAATAGAACCTCGGAAGCTCACGTCTTACCATTGGGCTACTTCCTAAATAAATAAGTGGTTACTAAATAATAAAGAAAATTATAAGAGTATTAATATAATTATTTATCTCAGGTGTGGGTTACTGACAATCAGATTAACTCAGACAAACTAACATTAACTAGACTAAACACGGTTTGATTTTAAAATAAAGTCAAATATGAATTGGCAAGCTAACCTTTTTTTCTATATATACTATTTCTTCCTTTGTTGCACTAAATTCATTTGTCTTCAAATGCTTTTCAATGTTCTGCCAAACACAACTTCCAAAATGGTAATATTACTATTGGGTTTTACCCATTGGAGCCAGGATCCCTTCTCCTATCCTCTCGTCACTGCAACCAAACACCAACTACTCAAGCCAAAACAAAAACCTTTGTCCCTCTCCTCTTTAGGATTTTACTTCTTGGGAAACTACAGAGCAGCCATTTTCTTTTTCCTGCACTAGTAGAACTGGATTAGCTTGCCTTTTAATTGTTCAATATTAATTTATTAAACCCTTTTTACTCATTTCCAATATAGGTGTACATTACAATATGTAATTGATTTTTATAATTTTTCCCAAAAACGGCTCTTACTATTTTGATCAAACTCATTAGGTCAATTTATTATTAAGTGGTTTTTAATTCAAGATAGATTTTATCCTTAAGGATGCTGCCTGACAGGGCTTGAATAGCAAATTCTCATTTATTTTTTTCCTCTATAAATACCTTTGATTTTGTTTATTTGCAATAATCAACCATTTCATATTATAACTATTATTAAAAAATGGTAAAATATAAGTTATCAAATTATTATATATTTAACTAAAGGAAAAATTAATGCTAAAAAAATCTGTTGAAATCTTAAAAAAAAAAAGAAGAAAACCTTTTTATAATCTGAGACCTTGATTATAAGTTAATTTTGTATTATGTTCATTTTACAGGTGTTTCAAGGACTAGTTCTGTCTCTAGTTCACACTCGCACTCTCACTCCCTAGGGGGCACCCTACCACGCCACGGCAGCGTAATGAGATCTCAAGACTTCCAGCACCACAAACCTCATGAGGCCACCACTCCCAGGCTCCCACCGAAACCTCTATTCACTTTCCACAGGGAGTCACAGCTTCAGTTCAATCACAATGCAACTTAACGAGAGCGTTTATTTTTATTGACACGAAACATTTTTTTTTATTTCTTTCCATTTCTTGCTATGCCTCTGCAGTTATGCTTAGTGCTAGATGCAGATTTCATGAAACTGAAGATCCCCACCTCTATATAACCTATGCATAATAGAATTAGATTCAATATGTGGGTTAATAGTTAGTTAATGATTTTGTTTCTAGCTTATCACATTGAGCTAAGAATGCCCTTCTGTTTTTGTTTCTGAAGTCATGGAATGTGTAATAAGTAACATTGAATTATTTTCTAGTAAAGAATGATTCTTATGATTTTAATAAACATTAGATGATTTATTTTCAAAAGTCAATCATCTAGTAACAAAGAAGAACATAATATTTTCAGTTAAAGTTATTTTGGGACTTTCAGGCCATTTAAAACCAAATTGAGGTTTTTATAAGTTGGTTTAAGCCTGAATGTATTAATTATACTCCAATTGGCCAAATTTTCATTTATCTATTGCAGAAACTAGAGATGGTATAATATATTAAGACGATTTATTATATCTATGATATATAATTTAGGTACTTTAAATTTTAAATTGATTATAGGCATATTATTTTTGTGAAACTTCATTTCCACTTTTAGCTTAATATATTTATAATACTCATGTTTTGGTATAATTTTATGTCAATACAAAAGATATGTATGATTTTAAAGTATTAGTTTAATTGATTAGTTTTCAAATAATATCTTTTATAGTTCCTCTGTTTTATTTTAAACAGTTGGAACTGTTTTTTGTTGTTTTTGTTTTATTTATATATATGACAAAACAGCCTGATAATTTTCTTATAGCAATTTTGATTTTATTATTAAAGTGTCATGGAATGAATGTTGTTTACAAATTTTAAAAAAAGAAAAAAAAGCTTGAAAGTTAATCATTACTATATAACAATTTTTATCTTAAGATGTGATATATTAGTAGTATTGTAAATTCAAATAATGTGCATTTGTTAGAGCATTCTATCTTTAATTTCATTTTTAATTCATCTTTAATTTGGGGAATCATTTATTATATATATATTATTTCAGGTTCTGATCTCCTTTATTTTTTGCCTGTTTTTTTTTTAAGCTATGATTTTAAAATATAACTTGTTGAAGGAAGCAATTAGTTCTCTTGTCAAATTTTAGTTGGCTTAGCATTAATTTTTCATCAGAAAAAAAATAGAGCATTATTTTCTTTTTTTTTTTTCTGATCTTTCAATTTTGAAAATTATTACCATATTACATTATCGAATATGAGACCTACCTTATCTAGTTGATAAATATTTTAAGACTAAATGTCATTTATTCAATTTTCGACATATTTTCTAATAAAATAAAATTAATTAAAAAACAATCTAAATTCCATTAGTTGGACTCAGGAGACCTTTGAATATCAAGTGGTTATTATTTATAATAGCTAGACTTTTTCAGTCTGTATTATACTTTTTATATAACGTTTTTATTGTTCTTCTCAAAAAATTAATTGTATTTATAAGTTGAGGGATTGTTATTCTAGGTGCCACGTCCTTATCATTTAGTTTTGTTAATTATTTCTTCAGCCAGTTTTTAAAAATGGACAAAAAAGTTTAGTTTTACTTTAATGAAACTTGCAATTCTGCAAATGAAGTCTTTATAAATTATGGGGAAAAAAAGGGATGAGAACTTGATTATAGGTGATTTAAAACATTTTGTCTTATATTCGATACTATTATTATTTAAAACAAAATATAATTGAAATCTAGAAATTGAACATTTTTTTTCAAGTGTAATGTTTAATTATTTTATTTAATGCATCACGACAAATTAAGTATTTTAAGAATTCAAATTGGATTAATTAATTTATTTGATTATTTCTTGAATTTATAAATTAACTCATAGTAAATTCTTCAACGATTGTGTTAATCAATGATAATCATTACCTTATTGATGATGATTTATAGTATTTGTTGAATATATCTATATATATATATATTTGTTGTAATAGACGATGAAAATAATGTAAACAATATTATCTGTCAAATTTGTGATATAGGTGCCAAGAAGAACTTCAAGTTTTTTACACTTTTTATAATTTGTTATTGTAGCAGGGCATGAATCAGCGAAATCACTTAGCTTGTTAGGGACCATCATAATAAGGTTTAATAGTTGTTTATTCAGGGATCTAATAGTTTGCTTAATAGAAAAAAAAAGTTGAAAAATAACCACTAATGCAAATTATTATTAAGATTAAGCATTAAAACAAGCACTGAGTAGCATAACACTAGTTCTGTATGAAATCCTACCTCAATAAGGCTCTGGAAAGGGTTCTGAATTCGTTTAACACCAGCTTGTTATTCCAGTGAATTTTTTAGTTAATTTATGTATTAAAAAAAATAGAAAAGAGCATTTAATCATATATTTCCACTTTAATTATCTATTTGTTACTTTATATTAATTTTCATGCAGTATTTTAATTGTGAATTTTATGGAAAAACGAGAAAGCAGAATCAAAAGAAGGATTTTTTATTTTGTAATAAGTTTCAGATAAAAAGGTCAGTACTGAATGTCTTTTGTTTACTATATTCGAACAAAATTTTTTAACTGCTTTCAAGCAGTGCAAAGAAAATCAAAATCATTTATTAATTTATTTATTTACAACTTTTGTTTCTTGTTTGTGTTCCTTTTTTGCGCTTTCTGTAAATGAGATGACCATCAATAGAATTCTTCTATAAATATAAAATAAAAAAATTGTTATCAAGCATGAAGAGTTGATTAGCCTATCTCAGCTGATTATCAGATCTTTTACTTCTAATAATCCACTATTATTCAGTAAGATAAAGATTTGTTTACTAGAAGTGCAGTGAAACCTTTCCCAATGTAGATAATGTTAATATGTAAATCAGTATCACCATCGATGGCACTACAACTCTTGGACAGACGATCTCCTGCAGTTTGATCCACCAGTCCTCGTTCCTACTAGTTGTTACTATTCCATTGATCCATCGGAGCAAAGATCTTTCTTCTCTCCTCATACCCTAAACCATTTCATCAATGATTCTTGTATGGATCAATCATTTAACAACATACTCCATCCATTTAAGACGCCCCACTTCTATGAATTTGACAATATCTGGATGCATTTAGATTCATGTTATTTTAGCATTTATGTGTATCCACGTTCTATTGCTGATAGCTATTTTCTTTAGTATTCACCTTTCTAACAATTTTTATTTATTGTTGATAATTAGTCGGGAGTTGTCAGACTGAATTGTAGAACAACAAATTTTATCTTTCACAATTAAGCGCTTAAATTTAAGTGAGTGTCTATGCTCAAAGCTTGATGGTTTCACTGTACTTGGTGTTTGTGTTAAACTTCAGTTATTTTGTCCCCGTATTCCTTCTCTAGCTAAAAAATTACCCACAATTACAAATGGAGCTCAAAACCATTTTTTAGAATTATTTATTCCTGCCAAGAAAGCTTTGTTGACTCTTCACAAAGCCGACTGTTTTCAAATGTTCTGAACTTATTATTGGCAGAGAGTTTTTTTTTACACTCGCTCATTTTATTGTGCTTTATTGCTGTATATAAACTTTTTCAAATCTTGCGAGATATTACAAGAAAAATTAAGTATATAATATTTTACGGATGTCAAGTTATTTAGTTTTATTGTTATTTTTTTTCACTCATCTGTAGCCATGTTTTGACCTCTGAAATAGGCTGTGCTTTCTAAATTCGTCCTAAATAGTTATAGATTGCTCTTTGATGATCAAACTGTTATTGTAGGATAGTATATTGAGATTAAAAAATATCGCGTTACATGTCGTAAATGCTTTTATTGATCCAGTTATGAAATTCAAATGATAGTTGTAAATATTTCAATTATATTATTTTGTATGGTAAACACATGTACATTAAGTTTAAATTAATGTAAGTTTACTTAAATGTAATAACAATTGTAACATTGGAAAATCTACTCTAGGTTCATGCCCTAATAAAATATTCCTAAAAAAAAAAATAAGTAATGTAAGTGCTGTAACTGCTATAGTAACTTGTCAGTATATCGCTTATTTTATGCTTTAATTAATAAAGAAATATTTTACTCTGTGCAGGACACATGAGCGCTTGGTTTCGGTCCTATTTTGTTTGCTAGTGACCGTTTACCATTCATAGTTTTGCCATATATCTTTTATGTATACATATATAGTGGACTATTATATATATATTTTTTATTTTGATTATATGATAAGAATATGTTATTATTATTGAATGTTGTATGTATAAATATATATGTATATGATCGATATCTTTTATGTATAGGTGATAAAATACTAAATATTTTTTGTTTTTGTCAAGAGGCGTACAGATTTTATAATCTGTTACTAGCACGTCTTATCGTGGAAAGAAAGAATTTGATAACTCTTAAAAATTAATAATTTCTTTCTTTCTGCTGTAATTTCTTATATGGGTACGTACCTGGTTATATGTTGCCGGGAGTTTACTGTTATTTATATTTGGGGCAACTATTATAGAATTAAGTTGTATTGAATGTTTCCATTATACTTTTATTTTTATTTATGATATAATTTGATTTTAATATGAAATCCATTTTGAAGGTCATTTAGACTAATTGACCATTTCTATGTAAACAATCCACCTGACTACAATATTTAATCCTGACCGAGTTTTAAAATTTTATCATGACTTTTGAAGTGATATCAAAAGTTTTATTTTATTATTAGTTTCATTATTTTTTTATGTTATTATACCTCTAAGGCAAGTGAGCTAATGCCAAATGTTACCCCTTACAACACTCAAATCGATAGGTGTTGTGTTTTATGTCTGTGATAGGTAGGAAGAGTAATATAAAATGTTTTATTGTATTTAGAATTAATATTTAGAAGACATAAGTTAGGTTCGGACAAGAAAAAGGATTTTTATGTCATACGCATAAATTATATATATACTGATATACACTCATGTAATTAAATTGGTATATTTTTATATATATACTTTATTTAGAGATAAAGGCCATTGTTGGTCTATTTGTGCTTTTGTCCGATTTGGTTAATTCCAGTTATGTTAAAGACTATACAAATAAATATATTAATGTGTAAATTTTTTTCTAATTTACATAATTCTTTACCTTCTTAACTTAACGACAAAGATCTTATTGGATTAATTAATGGATGATAGTGGTTATTCTCAAGCTCGTGTCATGGGTTTCAGAATCACTCTTGGAAATCTGTCAACATTTTTCTTATTTTTAATTGAGGCTGTAAGTGCATTAAGGTCACTGCTGCAGAAAGTATCTTTTAAACAATTTTTTTTAAACCTTTTAATGACGATGAGCGGGAAGAGTGAAGATTCCTTGAGGATAGAATACTTTTCATCACCTCCATTGACCACTTCCATATTTTTATTTAAGGCATCATCCAAAACTGCTCATAATCTCAAGTCATGGGAAGGTCGTAAAATAGTTTAAATGTAGAAATGATCACTGTTCTTTACTGTTTAGAAACCTTTGTTCTCGTCACGACTCATATATAAGTCCACGGCCATTAAAGGGTTAACCTAAACTCCAAAATTTACATTTGAATTATGCTGAACATTCATAACGTTACTTAACAAGTCCTACATAGTTTTCTATTAATCGTATCTATTCACATTCTCCCTTTCATTAATTGAATCAAATAAATAAATATCAAATTATTAATTTTTTTAATTGCTCTACAAAAGAAAACTTACAGACCCCGTTTGCATAAATTATAACACACTGATCAATTGATGATATGAAATATGGACTTTTAAAAATGTTAGTTATTTATTTTTACTGTTGACTATTAACGTAAAACAACAAAAAAAAAGATTTGGCTATTCACAGCTTAAATTTCTGATACTTTGTTCTGTATTTATAGCTTCATGTTTTGCAGTGCAAAATAAGTTTTTTGTAAATATTTAATTTCAAAAACATTAAAATGGAGTCATTCCTTTTTCAGTAGATGGCTCATATATTCTCAAAGTAATGACGATTATCGTCGACTTCGTATCGTCCTTTTCTATGGTGAATGCTTCAATCCAAGTCTCCCGAGTTCTGGCTTAACTTTATTTGGTCTGTTTGAATGGGTAATTGGTTTTCCTTTAAGACTTAACACATTAATCACCTTGTTCTATACTATTCTCAAACTTTGAATAGAAATTTGAAGCATTTACTTGTGAAAAAACTAAGAACTAAGAAAAGCACAATTGAATCGAGTCTGTGATGGAACAGTATCGAGCTGCATTCTTGTCTGATTATAATATCTCTTATTTTTAATGGATACCTAGTCTTTTTATTGTTTACGTTTTGGTTCAAATTTTTCATTGGCTTCTTTTATTGATTTCAAATACTTATGATTTTTTTCATCACTTATTATAATAATTGTTAACCTAATAAAAATGAAGCCTGAATACATGTTTTTGCCAGAAGGGCCTACTAGATCAGATACTACACAAATCGTTTTATTTTTTTTTATCTAATTGAAAGAAAATTTATTATAAAGTCCTCTTAAATTGATAAGAAAGACATTAAATCATTTTATGAAAAACAGTATTATGTTACTATGGGCCGTTTTTACTATGAAAGCTTCAAATGGTGTTGGAAATTCTCTAAATTTCAACTATAATGAAAAAGTACAATTCAGCAGTATTTATATTCTTTCTTTTTAAAGTTAGGTGTCATAAGATGAACTGTGTGATTACAAATAGATAAAAAAAAAATGTGTGATGTTGATTTGAAATTTAGATAAAATTTCAATCCAAAATAAGGTTCATTACATCCAGCATTTTTTTATTCCCTCAGTCTCAATTATTAAATGAACAACTGTCCCTCTTATCTCCATTTATTTATCTTATCCCATGTTTTTCAGTACTTCCTTTTTGAATGATCCGTGGGATTTTGAGTCGCTTATAAAATGAAAACCCTTTCTTTATTGGATTTTTTGATCATGGTTTACTTAAAAATTATATGAGCTTTGGAAAGTTAAAAAATCTTACACTTACTCTTCAACACATAATCATTGCAATCCACTTTATTCTAGGAGAAGCTCCACCTCAGTTAAGTATTCTATAAGGAATCTCATGTTCTGTTGGTTTTCCCAAAATCTTATTGCAGTTTTTTCCTATCCTAGTTCCATAGGCCAATTTGCGCTGACTAATTGAAAAAGGACTAATTTCAGTTTATTTTAAATACTCTGTCATGAGCTTTCATTTTCGTTCAATAGGCTCAGAAAAAAATTCATATAAAAAAATCTCTTTACGATACATTATTTAGGTAATGTTTTAAGATCTCTCCTCTACCATTGCCTGAACCCCCTGATATCTCAGAGAACCCTTGATGGTTGAACCATCACAAATGGTGGTCCATCTACAACTTCCTTAAACATCAATTGTATCTTCACACCACTAGCGGATCCAGAATTTAATTTTGGGGGGGGGGCTTCAGCCCTTTTTTTCATAAAAATAACGATATTTACTTTGGAAAAACAGAAAGAAACTAACTACCTATATTAAATGGTGTTTAAGTGATTCCTTAAGACCTTTTAAATGTAATTATACCAACAATAATACTTTGAGAGTTATTTTTTTCCATAAAATGTGGTTATGTTTTACCATTTTGGGGAGGGCTTCAGCCTTAGTAATCTTTTTCTCTCATTCACCCCTTTCTGGCACCAGGATATGAACCCATAATCTTACATTGAAAACTGAATAGCCATAACTTCGTTAATAGTTGTTCGAAATTAACGATTTTTAGATAGTTTTGTAGTGAATTTTATTACCTTTCAACAAAACAGGCTATAAACAGACAGACCAATGGCCGAAAATGTGTTTTTTGGACTCAAGGGGCTCTGAAACATATAGATCCATCGAAAACCGTATACCATCGGATCGCAATACTTTCCTTATCTAAAATTGGTAGGAAAGTAATAAATTACAACATGTGTAGAAAATAGAATAAGCTGTATCATTGCTAAAACTGGTTCAATTCCATTGTTTTTGTTTTGTTGGTCATGTTATTCTCTTTCAAAAGTTTTATTATAGATTTTACCATAGAATATATACTTAGCGAGTTAGACCCCAAAACATTTTTTTTTCTTTATAACTTTTTTTCCTGAATTTTCTTGAGAATTTAGTCCATGTACAAAAATTGAAAGGACAATTATTAGAACATTATAGGAAAGTTTCATCAAAATTGTTGAGCCGTTTTCGAGCTAGTCTATAGAAAACATGATTTTCATTTATTGCAAAGCAGCTATTGCGCATGGAGCAATAGCTGACATCCAATTTGTGTCACAGGCATCAGTAGTCAAAACTCTACAAAATAAAAAAAGAGCCAACAAAATCAGTTCACTAGTTCCCGAGAAAATCTTGGCACAGTCAGATCAATGGCTAAAAATATATTTTTCGGACTCAGGGGCCTCTGAAATGTATATATAGATCCATCGAAAACCGCATATCGGAAATTTGATCCGATAGGAATCCTTTCCTCACCAAGTATAGGTAGGAAATTAAAATGTAGTAACATAAAATGTCTCAGGACCTAGAACTATGGCTGCTACCTGCAGATAGAAATTATGTCTATAATTTCCTAAGGAGATAAAACCTTTTTAAAAGACTCTTAGTAGACCCTAGTTACAGTATATTCACCTTCTGTTACACCAGCAGATTAAAATCATGGCTCAACCAAGGATAATCAAAACAATCACAAATGTGCTTAGTTCATAATATTGCAGTCGTAAATATATTTTATAAGAAAATTTACAAGTGTCTTTTACAGTATATTTGTAAAATATGTCTTTCTAATCATCTTAAACTCTTGTGAACAAATCGTAGGTTTTTAACAAACAGTGACTTTACATAACATTGAATTAGTAAGAAGTTAGATGAATTTTCCTTTAGTGAAATCAGAAAATTGTGCATTTGTTATAACTGCAACAACAGATTTAATTAATTAATTAGATTTCGAGAAATGTTACTCAAAGTTCAGCTCTACCAAAAATATACTTGTTGACTTATTCCAATGAACTGACAATATTGATTACAGCATATAGAGGAACAATCTGAATTTAACAAACATATTAATATTTATTTTATTATAATGTGATTGAGTGGCTTATAATTTTATGTTCTAGAATTTCAATTTTTAATTTGTTCTATTGATTCAATTCTAAGTTACATTGAAAGCTAAGGTGGGTAAATATTAAAAACTGGCATGTCAAATGCCAATAGGGCCTTTTTGCACAATATCACTATCATAAGGAACAAAACCAGCACTGGTATTATTATACTTACTGTTAGTAATTTTAGAAACAAACTGTATACGTGTCCAACTTTACTCAAAGTAAGTTTGTTAATTAAGTAAATTATAATAGATATCTTCTTTCAACTTTTCCTTAAGAGAGGATGTTCACTTGTATTATTTTGGTGTGAATTTCAATGTTTATTAGTATTGATTAATACTGTAGATCAGCTATCTCCATTTCAGCCACATAAAAGATTTATTAATCATAGAGTTTCACTGAAGAATCAAAAGCATTTTTTGGACTGGTAACAAATAGTAATATATTAAAAAAATCATACAGAAGTGATAATTTCCTTTGTTCATGTGTAATAAAAAAATAAAAAAGTCTGCACATAATCTCAATTTAGAATAAAAGAAAGATCATAACAAATAAAACAATGGTTTTTTAACATGGCCAAATTATATTCAAACACTATTAAAATATTCTTTAAAAAACAAACAAAAAACTATACATACTTTACACTACTTCAATATTAAAAATATTTACATCTAGCATAAATTAAAAAACATTGAAATTACACTGAAAGAGTATCAATGCTCGTTCTACATAAAAATACTTCAACAAATGATGGTTACATCTTAACTTGTTCAGTAAAACGTCATTTTTCTGCAATTTAGTTTTTATAATAAATTAATTATATATTAACATATTTACAATCAGATTCTTCATAAATATATATACATTGCTAATACCCAGTTTATTATATACATACTATCAAGTACTATCTTATTTTCTGTAATTGATACCACCAAATCAACACTTAGCAAATCTTCATAATTGGAAAATGGTGATGGGCAGAAAAATCAAAATCTAATGGAGAGGAGGAATCTAGTTTATGAGTTGCAAGTAATTTCAACACAACGAAGTTTGTTTTAGAAATACGAATCAATTCTGTTATTTCTTGATCTGGATTGTGTATTGATTCCAAAAGTGTTCTTGCTTGATGAAAATGTTTGCATCCGGCTAAATATAAGCTTTGGCTGTTTGAATGCTCCAAACTATCAGTCATTTCCTTGAATTCACTATACTGAACAGGTGGTGGTGTCAGCAGTACATTAATAAATGGAGAAAATCTATGCTCATATCGAACTTTTTCACAATCGAATTCAGGATGTGGTAAGACTAATTTCCCGTCTTTACGAAAACCTACCATTGCCTTATAGTATCCACCACACATATTTTGTAGAGCTTGATTGATCGTTATTTCCTTTGCATATGGTCTTGTCTTCTTTTTCAATTTTGATTTACATCTCCTCTTGGTTTTATTCTGCTCATTCAACATTTCTTGTTCTGAAAGAAAAGCATCTGCTCTTGAAAGTGACGATACCAGCCATCCATAAAGAAATTCATAAAGGTACCAAAAAATATAATGATATTCATGGGTACTATACAATTCTAATTCAAAGCCAGATAATAAGAACATTATCATAACACGAAGAGTATGGTATAAAACCCAAGTACCAAAGCATGCGAGATGGGGCCTGACATTTTCACATTTCTTTGATAAACTATGTAAATATGCATCAACACGTTCGGCTTCATCTTGCAAGTTAGCAAAATCTTCAAGCAAATGAGCCAATTTATCCCTCTGCCTCGCACGATTGTGGCCACACAACTGGATCAAGTTGCTGAATGGTCTAACACAATGGCCTAAAAAACACTCCAAAAAGTCTTTTACCTGTGGATTATTTAGCAACTGTGATCTAGGCATCAACACAGGAGGTGAAATGAAAGCTCTGGCCGCATCTCTGATTGCATCAATGCAGTTTATAGTGTCACCAGCTCTGCTACATTGGGGCAAATACAGTAATTGCATAACACTTCTTGTTACAATACAAGGCTTTGAGCTGCTAACTTCAAGCATTAATTCTAATGCCAAATGAAAAGAAGTATAGGATACTATTTTGGTTATTTGACGAAGTCTACATAATAAATCATCAAGCCTTCTATATGATTCGACAGGTGATTTGATATGAGTATAACGAGGAAATGTTGGTGGCAACAGTCTTTGATTAACAAGAGGATCAAACCCAATTGTGACAGGTCCGTGAACTTCTGATATATAAGCTGGAGGAGAACCCTTGTTAACAGATGTAATGATAAATGCTATTGAATCAGAACAAGTAATAAGCAATTTAGTACTCTCTAATACTGTATTAGGATTTATATCTTTCTTACTCAACCCCATAAAAGCTTGTAACAACAATCTGGTAAACCTTATGCGCACAGTTAATGCAGAAACAAAGTCAGTATCAACATCAACAAAAGTTGTACGTCTCTTTCTGTTTAATTCTTCTTCAACTTCTTTCAACATTCCTAATGTTCTAGTTTCAGAAACATCAGGATTTAATCTATACCCATATCCCATGGGTTGAAAGTCCTCTTCTTCAAAAACCAATCCCCTACTAACAAACTCCTTGATGATATCTATCAATTTATAAACAGCTATGCAAAAAGATTTCAATGGTCTATCTTGAATTACATGAGGATTATGAAGGTAAAGATTTGTAAAGACAGTTTGAACAAGTGAATGTCCATCTAGCCAGGAAACTATGCAAGCCCAAGTTGTATCAATTATTGCTATTTGATCATTATACGGTATGTCTTCTACCTGAAGAATGTTTTTCTCAATAGCCTGAGTGAGAGTTAAGGGAGCTTTATTACCTCTATTACAAAGCATTCCAGCATCCATTTTAGGGTCCATCATTTCTATGGCTGACATAGCTTCAAATAAACCAAACAAATCATCATGAAGTAATTCTCCAAGTTGTAGTTCTTTTATGTTTTTAAAGAATTCGTCAGTTATGTTAACCCAATTGTAGCAGACATCAGGAACAAATGCAGTGCTTAAAGTAGGACTGAGGTTTCTAACATCAGTCATGTGCATTTTCAGCAATTTTAAAAACACAGATCGTTTAGAATAAGTTTGGATAAAAAATAATCAACTTGAAAATAACAAAAAAAAAAAAAATACAGAACGATTTCTACACTAACACTGCACTAAGATTTAATTTAGATTTAATCTTAGTATTGATTTGGGAAAATAATGAATTTCAATTATTAAAAAGAACTGGCAAAAACAAACCGGTCTAACAATCCGTAAAACCATTCACTGCAACCACAATGAAGGTAACAATCATTACTAAGATAACGTAAGAGATCATGATCATTAGTTGAAATTTATATTTATAGAAATCATGTCATTGATTAATGTTTGAAGAAAACAGACCTGAATGATTTAATGTAACAATGTATGGTCAGGTGAGTAACAAATAATGTTAATTTTTCTTTAGCTATTCTATAATATATATCGCTGTCTCGGATGAAGATAGGCACAGCTCAAATATATTGTTAACAGAATGGTATGTTTGCCAGGATATATACGTAGGCGTAAACCATGGGAGTAAATTGAAAGCTGTTTCCAGTTTACCATTTTTCCAATCCACTTTCCCCACACCTCCTCCGTTTTACCATGAATTTATGGCCGCACTTTGCATACACATATTTAAATATTGCTGGTTTAAAAGAAAACCGGAAAACATAAAAAAATTAAGAATTCCACTTTTGCGCAGATTACATTAATCTATAGAACGATTACAAAATTCGGTTCGATTGGATCCCCAAGCCTTTTCTTTGGGCTTCACCCCAAAATCTTCGCTTCCCATATATCCGCCCGTGCTGCAACCCATTAATTATGTCTACAGCTCTCTTATCCACCTCACTAATAGTTATGTAGGTTGATCTATGAATGGGCTCCTTTAGTAGAGATTTTACAATCTCTGAAATGGTTGATTGTCTCTCCTTTCTTTGTTCCTCCGTTTTCAGATCTTTCAATCTCTGTTAAGTTTCATGATGAATTTACTAGCTTCTTCAGCTCTCCTCCTTGTAACAACCTCTGAAGTATCAACGACCAACACGGGCAGATCTACGGGAAAGGGAGGGGAGGGCTTCCGGGCTGAAGCCCTCTCCCAAATGGTAAAATATAACCATTTTTTATGGAAACAAATTTTTAAAAAATACCTCTTAAAGTATTATTGTTCGTGTAATTACATTTAAAAGGACTTAATGAATCAATTAAACACCATTTCATATAGGTATCTAGTTTCTTTCTGTTTTCCCAAAGTAATTATCGTTATTTTTATGAAAAAAAAAGCTTTAAGGCTGAAGCCTCCCCCCCCCAAATTAAGTCCTGGATCCGCTAGTGATGACCAAGGAAAGTGGGTCCACCCAAACTACTAAGAGTTTGAGACTCAGCAGAGAAATTACCTTCAGTTGAGTTGTTCAGGTTTTGCAAACCTACTCCTGAAAGAACTTTTAACTTTCGGCACAGTGATCTCAGCAATAATTTTAGTGAGCACGTCGAATCCGTTCTGTGACGATAATTTCTCATTTAGTTTCCTATGAACAAGGGAATACACACTACTATAGCTATCTCCGTTCTCTCCACCATCTATAGTTTCAATCATATTATTATATTAGGACATCGGTAGGAAACATTCACGAACTGTTGCCATAAAGGAATCGGCAATTGGAAAAACAAAAAAGTGCTGTCTTCCATGGTTCTATTTCTCTATAAATCAGACTGTGTTCTCTGATTACTTTAACATATTCATCAAAAGTGTCAAAGTGACGTCCATTTTAGCAATTCGGCCCAAAAGTCAAATAACTTTTAGTATAAATTTTTTTTTACATCTTGTTTGTTCCTTCTTCTTCACTGTTGGAATTCCTCCCATTTCTTTAATTTGATTTTTAATTATACAGTCGAAATAAAGAAAAGAGATTTATACACTACCAGTCATGACAGTGCTTTAGGGTGAAGCAACCAGGGCAACCACCGGCACTCCAACTGATCTCCAGGGGCGCTTGCTATTTGTAAAAAATAAAAAAAAATACAATACGCATTAAAATAATTAATGTTAGCTTATCAATACAGCAATTGTATTATAGAAATGTTAAAATGAAATAAAATTCAACTATTACGTAATATAGAAAAGCTTGAGAAATAAATTTATTTTTTTTAGGGTGGGGGAGATGATGCATTGCCCGAGAACGCCGAATATCTAAGGCCGACACTGAATCGTGACACCTACATATTCTCAATTTTTGGTTTTAACTTCTTTTCAATCTTTAACTAGCACTTGTTGGACAAATACATGGCGATCGCGCTAAATAATGTTATCTGTGTATGTAGAGCGATAGAATCAACGCCATTAAAATCTACTACCTGCAATACAATTTAAATTTTTTTTGGAAGATTGCGACTTACTGACTTCTGGAATAGAAAAGACATACGGAACAAGGCAGAAAATAATATCTAATGTGTTGGAAATGCTTGCAAAAAGGCATCCGCTCCTGATTTTCAGGAATTTACAAAGGAAAAGTCATGCTTCACGGTCCATTCTCCGTCCATCATGTTGAAAATTAAAGAAAAAAGATAAACAGGAGTGTGGAAATATCAATATTGTCCACTCATATTGACTATCAGGTAAGCGGGCGAGAATTCAGCTGAAGTGACAGATATCGATTTTAAATAGAACCTTGAAATATGTTAAGTTCTTTTTAAAAACGCTGGTTAAAGCTAAAACTAAAAAAAATAATAATTTCGTGTTTAACAATAAACATTCGAACAATTACATTTTTTTTTACGGCATGTAACGATAACTTAACAATGCAAATGTAGAATTTCTAAGAAAGTAGAATATCTTTAACTAATAAACGATATGAATTATTGTTTAAAAAATAAACGGTTTTTTCTTAATTAAAAAAAAACACGCTCCCTTAAATAAATATATTTAGGGGAGGGGGGGGGGAGGAGAAGGAGGTAGAGGTTTAAATATGATCACCTTAGCGTATTTCTTCACTTATATTTAAAACTAATTTCAACAGCCACTAATAATTCCACTAATTAATGAAACGAAAATAATAATGCTATTCATGTACTTTTTATGTCTTCTAAAAATTTTGTTAGTAATATCTAAAAATAAGTAGAAGATTATTTGTCATAAATACCTTTATTTATATACGAACTAAGTACATTCAATATGCGCACAGATTTTTTAAAAAGTTGTTTTATTTCATTTATCATCGTAAAATATAAATAGTTCTTTAATGTATTTTTATTGTTCAAATATCTTAAAATTCAGGCATGAAGGGTGCCACACCTGGTCAGTTTCATATCCTCAGAATTCTGTTTAAAAGTTAACTTATAAGTTATATATATAAAGTTTCTTTAAAATGGTTTGTACTAACTTTCTTAAAATATGATTTAAAAACAATATTAAAAATTGTTGCTAAAATTACACTACTTATGTAAAAATATAGTTATATTTATATATAAAAGAATTTTATTGTCTTTGAAGCTTATACTAATATTTAGAATTTATTTGATCTACTGCAAAAGTTAGTAAATGCGTTTGTGCTCATACATATATTTATTAACTTTATATAATCTATTATACATAAAGATTCTACAAAGAGGGAAATGACCTCTTTTTTCACAGATACAGAGGATAAAATAATGGAAATCAAATTTCGAACTTATTAATAAAAAGATGAGACAATATGTTGGTTAGATTTAGTGAATATTAGTTAACTTCCAGCAACATTATACTTTTGTATTACTTTAAAAATTTTAATTTTTTACAGATATCTTCTCTTTTAAAGAATCACAAGGAAAAAACTGAGGATAAACAGTTGTTAAAGTTAGAGAAATAAATAGTTCTTAGATGCTCTTTAAATGATTCCAACATTCTTGGGAAAGTGAGTATTAATTGAATATTAAAGAATTCCTAAGTATTTCATCTTTTCTAGTAATTATGTAGTTATTTAAAGTACTTTGAGCAATAGTCAATGCTCCATATTACATTAAAAACAAAACCTTACGTCATTGCCTTAACATCCCATTGGTCTTCGACATTATTCCATCCACATTCTCAAAGTTTCATTAGAACTTTGATCAACTCAATGGTTTTGCACAATCCCCAGCTCTAACCATCTCTGTAACCCTCTTCGAAGGTCGAAGCGGCAGTGCCTCTGAAACCTTTTGTGAAGATCCTCGACCCTGAGTGCATGCAGCTCTTATATTTTCATTCATTCTCTACTCACTTTTAGAAACAGTGAAGTGGCTAGGAGTGAAGCACAAAAGTCTGATGGAATCCTGTTCTATCTTCCATATATTGGCGACAAAACATGATTCAGTTTCCTTAGCAGAATATAAATATTGTATATAGGTATGAAAATATTTCAAGATAATTTATCTGATGATCTTTATCTTTATTAGTTAATAATTCTGTAATTCTTTAATTTGCAAATTATTTTACTTATTTTTATTGGTATTATTTCATATAAATTTATATAGATATTTTTACACGTATCCTATTAAGTAATATATTTATACATATTACATACCTAAATATATTTAATCATCGATAATATATATTTTTCAATTCATTGCATAACTTTAGTCTGTATATATGTTGTCATTGAATACTTTTAATTTTAATACTCCATACTGTTAATTGTAGCAGGATGTATTTTTTTTTCATCAAATAAAAAAAAACAACAGTATTTATAATATTAACCATGTATTAAATGGTTTGATTTCTGTTATGAGTTAGTTTTTTATCTTGTGGTTTGAATGATTGTGTAAAACTTTCGAGTATCTATGGTCTCTTTTGTATTATCAAGTCATTTGTGAACTATTCTCTTCCTTAAAAATTTATTTTATTTTAATATAAATAGCGTCTCCTTCGTGTTATAATTTTCCAATGTTTTCAGGATTGTTTATCCTCATCTTCAGGGATTGCTTTATTCCACTATCACATAACATGATACCTTAAGTGTACTCTAACTAACCTTAATGAATTCAAATACATATTAGCATTGGTAGTATATTCTTCTGAACAAATTTTTTAACTAAAAATACATACTCTTATCTTTCAGATCATCACTCCC